GATCCCACCACCAGCCAATGGAGTCCTCCTCTTTCCTCATCCACAGTTCTGGGCTGTTAGAAGCTCAACTTTGCATCTTTCCCCCAGGATCTGTATCTGGCATCGAAATCACCCACGTGTTGAAGTGGACTGTCTGCTGGGGAGAGGGATGTCAGAGCCCCTTCTGGGAAATGTGCGTGCTGGTCTTTCTCCCCTGCCTATTGGTTGCACTGTGCGTGTTCTGTGTGTTGCGTTTTGTGTGTTTGTTCCCTACTTCTGAGCTGAGCCCCAGGAGACGGCAGCGGATGGCTTTGTTGTGCCCCAGACAGAGTCCCGGGGGGGGGGGGGGGGGATGCAAATGCTCACAGGTGATAGCTGGTGAAGTTAGTGGTTAAGCATGTGAGCTGTGAGCCTGGAACGCCCAGGTTCCAGCTCAACCATGAGCTGAACACTTGGTCACAATCTCTTAGCCTTGGACATCTCCCTCTGTAGTATGGGGGTGCCTTATCTATACATGTCCCATCTTTTTGGCATTAACACTTTGAAGACCTCGTTTGAAATTTTCTAAATCTAATAATTTAAATGCACTGAAAAGATCTCCCAGTGGGAAATGAAGCAACTGGTAACATCAAGTTGGTGGGTTGACCCCACCAGCCTCTGACTTTGGCTGTGCCCTTGTCGCTTGCCAAAACTTCCTTCAGTGGGGCTTGCTGGCCTTGAGAGAGGACAAGCGCCCAGCTTCTTGGCAGGGTCTGATGTCTGGGGGGGAGCAACCTGATCTGCTGCCGTGGGGGGGGGGGCAACAGGGCCCGCTTGTTCCCAGCGTGAGCCTGACGGTCTCTGTGCTGTGTCCCTGCGATCGATCGCCGGCCGATTGCGTTGCGGGATGCTCTTCTCCGATGCCTTCCAACGCTGATCTGCACCTCCTTTTCCTGTTGTTCTGTGGCCCCCACAGCTGTGGAGTGACGAAGTGGAAAAAGTAAGTATTTTGGCTCTGTCCAGTTCCTTTGCTAGAAAATGTTGGTAGAGAGCATGGCGAGGTATTGGGAGGGGTGGGTGGGGTTGAAACATGAATGCTGCAGAGAGCCGTTCCGTGCACTCTCTTCTGTGGCACATCTTGCAAGCCAGTTCGCCTTTCTCTGGTGCGTGTGTGCGTGCGCATTTCCCCCCCCCCCTTCCAAAGGCTTTTGAGTGACACTAACGTTGGCATCCAGTTGGGGGAACTGCACTGTGTCTGCTGCACTGGTCAGTTGTTAGCTTCCAGTAATCAATTTGGTTTGCTAGTTTTAATTTCTCTGAAAGAAGTGTTTTACCCACCGGTGCCAGGTATCCCGCTCTGTGTATCTGGAAGACTGCTTAGGGATGGGGTCTGCGAGACAATCCCCCGAAAGATCCACGACTGAATCCCGGGTGCATCTTTTAAAGCCACAAAATGATGTCAGGAAAGTGTAGGGTTACCAAGTACCTACCGCGAATCGGCGGGGGACACACAGTTCTTGGCGGGGACATTCCCGCGGGGAAAACACACACGCTGCACTATACTGTCGCCCAGACGTGACGTGGGCACGTAGCCGTGCGACACTCTAGCAATGGGGCTGAAAACTCGATGGTACCATCGAGTTTTCAGCCCCATTGCCAGAGCGTCACCCGGCTACGTGCCCAGCGTGCTGACGTCACATCTGGGCAACAGCATAGTGCGGCGTGGGCGTGTTACAGGCAGGAATGTTCCGGCAGGAAAGCATGTTTCCTCCGTCGATTCACGGTAGGTACTTGGTAACCCTAGGAGAGTGGGGTCTCTCCCTTAGCGCCCTCCTCCTGGTCTCAGGTCCTACCCCATCCACTGCTTGCCCCCCGGGCAGAACCTACAGTGCCTGTGTGTTTCCTCGCGCGAGCAAAGAGCATCTGAGCGGGCTTGTTCGCAAACGGCCAAACTGATGAGTGCCGCTCCTCCAGTCCCCCACGGCAGCTGTTTATCAGTTAAAAACTACGGTGGAGGTCTGACCATCTCCTCTAGGCTGATACTTGCTGTAGGCAAGACCACGAGGGCCAGTGATTCGAGCAGGCCCTTTGGAACGTGCCCCAGAATCCCCTGCAATGTACAGAAGCTCTTGGGCATGATAGGCAGAGGCTTTGAAAACATGTGGCACGGTGGTGCCTCTGCTTCTGTGTCATTCATTCCCCATCAATGCAAAGTATCGGGTTCCCCCTTTTTTAAAGAAAAAGATCCCTAGACTGGTTTCTTGGAGGAGGGCTTTATTGCTGATTAGTGGCTTTTTTTTTTTTAATGTAAGATTCAGTTAACCCTCTCCTCAAGTGTGGCAATAAAACAATTAGATCTTCAAAATACTGAGTGGTATCCAGTTGCATCTTCTGCTGCAGGGACACCCCCCCACACACACACCCCTGTAGGTCCTCCTGATGCCGCCCCCCCCCCAAGGCATTTAATGGGAATTAGTGGGACACTTTGGAAGCAAGTAGGCAGGATAGTCTTGTTCCTCTGCTGGGGAATTGAGTCTGGATCCAGCCCCTCGTGCCTGGAGACTCTCAAGCCAGGATTCTTGCTGCCGATGATTCTTGTGGATGGCCCCCCGGGCCACGCTCTTTCTGCAAAAGGAGATGGTCTTTCGGACTCTTTCAGAAGGCACCAACCAGACGAGGGGTGTCACGGTGTCACTAGAGGCAGCGCCAGTCCTGGATTTTAGAGCTTTTTTTTCCCCATGCGCCCTCTTTCTGAGAAGCGCACGCTCCTGGCAGCAGTCCAGCTCCTCTTCAGGAAGGAAGTAGCTTAAAGCACACGTCTTGAGGGGCTGCGTGGCCGTTCTGAACGTGCGTATGGACATGTGGTTGCGCAGACTGCAAGTAAACGCGTGGCCTGAGGACGGCGTGCCTGGGCAAGAGTGGATCTGCCAGCAAGGAGTGCGTCAGGCAGCCTGAGCCGGCACGGGTGCCCCAGGCAATGTTCCCTCTAAGCTGTGGAGTCTTGTGAGCAAAAATTCTACTTTGTGAGCAAACTGGCATTAAAACTGTGAGCGAGCGATTTGGCAACCGTATAAATTCGTTTGCCCTGGAACTGTTCTTCCTGAGCTAAGACAAAAATGTGTGAGCCGGAGGCTAGAAAACTGTGAGCTAGCTCACACTAACTCAGCTTAGAGGGAACACTGGCCCCAGGGCCTCTCCAAATCAGTGCCGGTTTCTGCCTTTGCTCCAGATAGGACCCCTCCGTTATTCTCTTAAACTTCTGGCCGAAGACCAACATCCCGAAGAAAGACAGAGAATTGATATCTATTTTCCTCACAGCGGCCAAAACAGTTGTGGTTCAGCGATGGGAGCTTCGTGATAGGCCCTCACTGCACCGATGGCTTATCAAAGTCTGGGGCCTTTTTTATCTTTGGTGAACTCTCAGACCAGGCTTGTCCAGGCAACTAAGAAAGGTCCTTCTGTTAATCCAGTGCTAAAATGGGCTCCCTTCACTAAAGCTCAGAAGGGCTCAGAAGCGCCTAATGGAAATCCAGGATTAGAACCTTACTCTCTCTACTTATTTGAATTAATTATAGTCCCTAAGGTCTCCTTGTACCAGTAGTAGTAAAGTAAAGGTAAAGGTTCCCTTGCTTGAAAGCCAGTCGAGTCCGACTCTAGGGTTGCAGTGCTCATCTCCGTTTCAAAGCCAAAGAGCCAGCGCTGTCCGAAGACATTTCCGTGGTCATGTGGCTGGCATGACTAAACACCAAGGTGCACGGAAAGCTGTTACCTTCCCACTGAAGTGGTACCTATTTATGTACTTGCAATTTCTTGCTTTCGAACTGCTAGGTTGGCAGGAGCTGGAACTAGAGACGGGAGCTCACTCCGTCATGTGGCGCACTCGGGTCTCGAACTGCTGAACTACCGACCTTCCACAGTCTGCAGTTCAGCGTCTTAACCACTTGAGCCCCCGCAGCTCCTATGGTTAATATGTTGTGAGCTCATGCCGGTTTCTGCCTTGTGTCCTGGACTAATTTTTCTGTTATTTCTCATGGTTGTAAATCCTGAAATAGTATCGTAATGTAATTACTTTCTTGAGTCCTAGGAAATTGGCAGCACTGAGGTGGATCGAGGCCGTACCCCTTCTTAGTGCAAGTGGAGGCATATGAATGAACGCTTCTCCATACTCCCCCCCCCCCCCTTGCCCACGTGTAGAAAAGTAGCCATGGCATGGAGGAGGAAGAGGAGGAGGAGGGGAAACCAGTCTGCTTCAGTCTCTGAGAGTGCGCAGACTCCGAGAGGGGAGAGGGGCCTCTCCAGATCCTTTTCCTTCTCCCCCCCCCCCCATTCCCCTTGATGATTCCTCCCGGCCCTTCACTTGTAGCACGCCACCTTCAGGGGGGGCCCAGGTGTCGTTCGATGACAATCCGGCTTCACGTTCACCGTTGAGCCGCAGTAACTGCACCTCTTGCCACCTGGGCAGGTTTATTTTTGTGCTGGGGCTGTGTGGCTCAGTGGTAGAGCATCTAGCCGGCCTGCAGAAGGTCCCCAGTTCAATCCCCGGCACCTCCGGCCAAGACAGGACCAGGCAGGAGGGGATGTGGAAGCCCTTTCTCTGCCTGAGGCCCCGGAGAGCTACTGCCAGTCAGAGTAGACAAGGCGGACCTTGATGGACCATGGGGGGGGGGGCTGATTCGTCATGTGTATGCTGGCAGAGTTCCCCTGGGACTGTCCCCCCTGGGAGGGCCTGTCTTGGCTGATGAGGCTCACACACAGGCACCTTTAGGGCCGCAGGCGTCACCAGGGGCTGCTGGGTTTTGTTTCGAAGGGTCCCCCTTTCATCCTGTGCACCTCCTGTTTCCCCAAAAGTGTTGCGTCTGCTTCTCTGTCCCCGGCTGCTGCTGCTGCTGCTCTCTGGTTCCGTGGAGGCTCTGCCCTTCAGAATGGAGGCAGCCACCTGGGGGGAATGAGGAGCTGAAGGAGTGTCGCCAGCGGCTCTTGTCGCTTGTTCTGTGTCCTTGAGGCCTTCCCGGATCCCACAGGGTCCCTTTTCTGTGTTCCAGGCAGAGCACGAGCTCCGGGTGGCCCAGACGGAGTTCGACCGGCAGGCAGAAGTCACTCGCCTCCTCCTGGAAGGGATCAGCAGCACCCACGTGAGGAGAGGGCAGGGCGGCCGCTTTCCGGCATCGGGTGTCAGGGGGCAGGGTGGCTGGGTCCCGCCAGCAGCCTAAATTGGCAGGCGGCTAATCTTGGGGGGCCTCAGAAAACCTCCGGCGAATGAACCTTCTCTCACTGCCCAGTGGCAGCACTCGCTGTTGCCCAATGAAGCCGTTAACTTAAACAAGGTTACGCCACACAAAAGTATGTCATAAGTAAACAAACTCGTATAATTACAAAGGTTATACGTGTGCTTCATTCCAAATATAATAGTAAGCATAAATAAATAAATATAAATCCAAAAAGAAATCAACCCTGACTGTTCCCTGGAAGGCCAGATAATGAAACTGAAGCTCAAATACTTTGGCCACCCAACGAGAAGGGAGCCCTCACTGGAGGAGAAGACCCTGATGCTGGGAAAGATTGAAGGTCAAAGAAGACGGGGACGGCAAAGGATGAGATGGTTAGACAGTGTCATAGATGCAACGAACATGAAATTGAGCCTACTTCAGAGGACCGCGGAAGACCGGAAGGCCTGGCGGGATCTGGTCCATGGGGTCGCGAAGAGTTGGACACGACTGTGCGACTGAACAACAAAATAAATAAGAGAGAATACAAATACAACTACATTTAAATCGAAAGTCAAAATTCAGCCTCAAAGGTGTCCATTCCAAACACTTGAAAAATCTGAGCCTGTTGTGGGAGTACATCAGTGCGGAAGAACTGAATTCTGGAGGGGGTTGCGTTCCATCATGAATGCACCTTATTACCTGTGAAAACTGACTCCACTTGTAGAAGGATCATCAGCTTTGAAGAAAAGGATCGTTAGCTCTTGAGAAGGAGAGTTTCGAAACAGCTTTTATCGATAGCTCGTTGGGTGTGGATCCTTCCTTGCTACAAGCTTCATCACCCCAACGAAGTCGGGAGGAAGCAAACTTTCTTACGCAGCAGGATAATTCTTTGGCAAGTTTTCCTATGTCAGATTTTTTGAATGTTTGGAATGGACATCCTGTCAGGTTCCTTAGTCAGGTCACACCACACAGGGCTTCATAAGAAGATAACTGTTTATTAGGAGTTCCAGTACTAAAGAACACGTGTACAGCTTGTGTCAGGAATAGCCAGCAGTATAAGGGCCTCTGACTTATAGTAGAACCAAACACACACCCCTTGTAAGCGTAAGCCAATGATTATAGTTCACGCGGGTGGGCAAAAGCAAGTGGGCAAGCAGGCAGAGACTAAAGCCGTTAACTTTCCCAGCCGAGTAATTGCAGCTGGAGACTACAAGGTCAAGCAGGAGATAGCGCTCAGTAGCTGGACAGGGAACAGCTGAGGAGGAGAGCGTCCCCCCCCCCATTCCAGATCTATGGCAGGGCTACCTGACACATCCCCTTGAGACTGAATTTTGATTTAAATGCAGTTGTATATGTATTACATCTTATTTATACTTCTATATTTGGGATAAAGCCCATTTATAACCTTTATAGCTATGAGTTTATATATTTATTATGTATTTTTGCATGGTACAACCTTGCTTAAGCGAACTATTCACAGCCCTGTCCCCTGGTTACATAGGCCAGTGAAGCAGGGCAGCGGGAAATTCAGGACAGGCGAAACGAGGCATCTGACTGGTGGAGTTTGCTGGTGGCTCTGGCGGTTTTTGAAGAAAGGTTCAAATGAACGGTGAATTGGGGGGTGTCTGTTGGCAGTTATTCTCTGGGGGGGGGGAGCTGCCCATTATGGCTTGTGAGCCTCGCAGAGCCCGCCAAAGACTAGACTCTGGTGACCCAACGGGGCAGAGCTCTTGCTCTGAAAGGGCCAGTTGGCAAACAGCAGGCCTCTGTTCCAGTTAAGACACACACACACAGCTCTTCTGCGTTGCACGGGGTGACCTCAGAGCACTATCCCGTTGGGTGTGTTGCCTGCAGGACGCAGTAGACTGGCTGTGGCACAAGGGGAGAAACAAACTCCGCAGCCCCCGTCGGGTGCAGGATGCTGATGGCACAGTTCTGTGCCACCCGGCCTAGGTGTGAGCCGAGGGATAACAGGGCTCTACTCAGAGGCCCCTTCGAGAAACCTCTTCCAGGTGTCCAAGCCCAGGCCAGGGTCTCCGCTCTGGTCACTGCCACAAGACGCCGTTGTTGGGAGTCCCCAGTCGCTGCCGCCGTGCCTGATGGGTTTCTCTTGTGTGCTCTCTCTCTCTCTTCAGGTCAACCATCTGCGCTGTCTCCATGAGTTTGCAGAAGCGCAGGCCACGTACTATGCGCAGTGCTACCAGTACATGCTGGACCTTCAGAAGCAGCTGGGCAGGTAGAGGGACGGAGCGCTCTTCCCACAAAAGGTCCCGTCTGGGGAAAGACCCTCTCAGCAGCCCTGCAGCTCTGGGGCATCCAGGCCCGCTTTGGCTGGCCCTGGTCCCACCCTGCTCCTCACCCCACCACGGGTTAGATCCATCCGCTCTGTTCTGAAGGTGGGCGGTGCTTTCCATCAACAGAGGAAGCAAGCCTGCCCTCAGTGCAGAAAGAGGAGGCGCCTCAGCTCTCGGAACAGATCCCACGGGTCCCGTCCTGTCGGTTTTTAGGAGGAGGAGGAGGAGATTGGATTTATACCCCGCCCTTCACTACCCAAAGGTGTCTCAGAGCGGCTTACAAACTCCTTTCCCTTCCCCTCCCCACAACAGACACCCTGTGAGGTAGGTGGGGCTGAGAGAGCTCTGACAGAAACGGCTCTTTCAAGGACAGCTCTGACAGAACTATGGCTTGCCCAAGGTCATCCAGCAGGTGCAAATGGAGGAGTGGGGAATAAAACCCGGTTCTCCCAGATTAGAGTCCGCACAGGTAACCACTACACCAAAGAACAAAATCCAGCTTCCTGAACCCTCAGTACCACTCCACCCTGCCTCACCCAGAACGGAGGCAAAAATAGACTTGGGCTAAAAGCAGGGGGCGAATGGCCTCTACCTCTCGGCACTGGACGAGGAAAGGCCCTCCCTTATTCCACTGGGCGGGCTTTTTCATGGGCATCCTTGTCAGGCTGAACGTTGGCTGTAGGTGTGCGGGATTCAACCCCGCAAGCCAAGCTAGAGAAGGTATTCTGCAGGAAAGGCGCCTTTCCAACACAGCCGAGCATTCTGACCTGAGCCAGTCGGTTTTCTGAGGGATGGTGAACCTCAGCAACATCAGTACGTTGTTGGCTTCCCAGGCTGCTTTTCCTGTCGGGGGAGGGACTCCTCTAGAGCCGTGTCTTTGGACAGGTGTGTGACCTTCCCTGAAACAGCCGGGAGCAACGTTCCCTCTAAGCTGTGGAGTCTTGTGAGCAAAAATTCTACTCTGTGGGCTACTGGCATTAAAGTTGTGAGCGAGCAATTTGGTTACTGCATAAATTAGTTTGCTCCGGAGCCCTCCTTCCTGAGCTAAGAAAAAAATGTGTGAGCCAGAGGCTACAAAAACTGTGAGCTAGCTCACACTAACTCAGCTGAGAGGGAACACTGGCCGGGAGTCACTTGAAAGATGTGATGAACATGCAGCCTTCAAAGGCTGCATACCCAGAAGATGAGCCATCTCTTGACTTCAGCGTGTGATGCTGGATCAAATGACTGGTCCACCTATCTCCGTCCATGCGGCCCGGCAGCTGGTCTCTAGGGCAACCAGAGTCCTTCCCTTTCACCGGACATTCTGTAGCTGGAGCAGCCAGGGATTGAACCCGGGACTCCCTGCACGCAAAGCTGATCTTCTGCCCCAAACTCTGTCTCTGTCCCCTGGCTTCATAGTGCATCACAGGAGTGTGTCTAGAGACCGGGTGTGTGTGTGCGCGCACACCCTTGTTCTTGGGCTGCTTTTGAGACCCAGTGTCATGCAGCCCCATCCCAAGGCGCATTCAGATGGTGCTGAGAGCTGCCTGTTTCTCCACACCACGATCTAGAGACCCTTGGCCGGAGTCCAAATGTGTGTCTCTCTCAGATACAGGCTGGGGAGGGCAGAAGGGGGCACGGAAGCATTTGCCTTGGTGGACGGGGGTTGGGCCTGGAAAGGAAGGTCCCGTGTTCCACAGATCTTGGCAGGTCTTCTCCACACACACCTCATGGGAATGCCACTGCCCATACTGGTAATTCTAGGGGAGGTAGAAGGTGGGAGCAAGATGTGTCATGTGGGCACAACCCCCAAAGCCTCCGGGTGAAGAGGCCCTGCCTGCTGCTTGGGTGGCTTTCCGGGAAAGGAGGTGGGGGGGGGGGGCGTGCAGGAAGTCTGGTTGCCGCCAAAGAGCCGCTCACTTTCTGCTTTGTCTGCCTTTCCTTTCACGCTCCCAGCTCCAGAGGAGAAATGTAAGTAAGATAAAGGCAGTGGTGTGGTGAGACCAGAGAACATCCTTGACGCTTCCCGTTTGCCCCCCTTCTACACAAGCCAAGTGTTAAATACACAACCCACACGAGAGTCTGAAGGAAGGTGCACCGAGACCGTGTCAGCCCAGTGGCGGTTTGTTGGCTGTTCTGGTTTGGAGTGTGGTTTTTGCCTTGAAAGTCCTGAATGGCTTCTGACCGGCCTAGACAAGGGGCCACACCTTCACCCGCGCAAGCACACACCTGTGACCTCAGGTCCGCCACCGGCAGGTTGCCTTAGAGGCCCCTGTTCACTGGGAGGAGGCTGGGTTTGTTAACTATCCACCCCCACCCCCCCGTGGGCTTCCTGGGGACCTCCCCTTTGGCCTTCTAGACAGCGGCAAGAATGGTGCTATTCCAGAGGGGTTTTCCGTTTGTCACGTGACTGCATCTCTTAACTAAAGTCCATTCCTGGCACCACATCCGTTTCTTAAGACTGCTGTTCGCTTTTATTCTGCCGCTGATTGCAGTTTTGGTTGCTTTCCCTGGCTTTGCAGTGCATCGGCTTTGTGTGGTCAACTGCCTTGTGCACACTTCCACGGCAGAAAAGCAATATATAAACAGTAGAAATTGGGGCGAGAACTCTTAGTGAATAGCTTTTACAGCCCCCCCCCCCTTTTTTGTAGTTTTCATATGTGTGTGTGTGTGTGTGTGTGTGTGTGTGTTTGTATGCTCCTGGAAGTCATGGCGACCTCTGGTTTATGGACCCCTACTGGGGGCCTGGAGGATATTCAGAGAGGGGGCTGGATAAAGCCTGCCCCCGCCTCCCGACTGCTGGTATTCCAAGGAGGCCTCCCATCCAAGTACTTGCCAGAGTCAGCCCTGCTTCGCTTCCGACATCTGAGGAGACTGGGCTTGCCTGGGCTATCTGGGTCCATGTGACAGTCCGTTTTTTAACGTATAGTGGTCACTAAACCTATCCCTTCAGAGGGTGGCCCTGGTGCATTTTCTTGGAGCACAGTATTAAAACCACTTTTTTCCATACCCATGTGGGGAGCCCAGTCAAGGTGAAAATTTAAATTGTCTGAACCCTGTATGCTATGGGGAAGAGTCTCTCAAACAGCCGCCTCCCTCATTTCCAGTGCACTGGAGAGGCCTTGTTCCATGGTCCCATTTGCGGCAGTTCGATCTACCAGATTATTTCCTTAACACATGGGAACTATAAATAAAACTATAAAAGCTACAACGGGGTTGTTGTTGTTTTTTTGCTGGATATTGATAGAGACGTTACTTCAGCGGCTATATTTTAATAGCTGTGGCTTTAGCTTAGACGTTCCTCCTCATTGGCACTTGAGTCCGAGGCTGCGCTCAAGTCACCGTGACAAAATCGTGGGTTTTAAATTGTGGTTGGATCCATCCACGATTAGCCAGGGCATTTGAATAGAGGCAGTTCAACAGACGGGTTTCCTGTCAGCATCAGACGGGGGTTTCAAAGCAGAGATTGCTAGCCTAACTATGATTCGTCGTGGCGTCTGAATTCACAAACCACAGTTTGTTGGGTGGCTGGCGCTGCAACTTCTGGCTAAGGAAGATGTCCTCTCTGCTGGGAGGTGGAAGGGGCCAGGGACAGACAAACAACAGTTTATGCAGTAACCAGTATTTTTTACTTGTGTTATGTAGACTAGGGTTTGTTCTGATGTCTCAGGGTAGCTTATAAATGGTTTTGGTAGAAGAGACTGACGTGTGTATCATCATGGAAGGTTCGGGTCTTAACACTCTTCTCCCTCCCTCCTTCTACCCTAAAGGCTTCCTGGGACATTTGTGGGCAACGTAGAATCCACGTCGCCTCCCCCCGCCACTGCCTCCCCTACTGCCTTGGCTGCTGCCACGGGCCCAACAGTGCCCACCATTCCAGTGGTGCCCACTGTTGTTGGCGCACCCAACTCTGCCCCGACTGTAGAAGGTCTAAACCCCAGTGATGTTAAGCCCCCTGCCAGCGGGACACGGAAGGCCCGAGTGCTCTATGACTACCAGGCGGCTGACAGCAGCGAGCTCTCCTTGCTTGCCGACGAGGTGGGTCTTCTTAACCTTCAGAGGTGCCAAGTCCGTTCCCAAGCTGTTTCTGCAGAGGCCGGTGAGGCTCAGTTGTGTGGACTGTGGCCTGCCCAGTCTGGTGCAAAAACCAGTTGCTGCTGTTTTCTTCCTTTGGCCTCAGCCTGGCTTTGAATGTGTGTCACATTGCCCAGGGGACAGGGTTGCCAACAAATGTCCTCTTCCTTGGTGTCCTGTCTTCTTTTGGGCCCTTGGGGGAAAAAAACTGAAGAAGATATCATCTTTTTGGGTTGGCAGGTTAGGAATATTCTTAGCAGCAATTGTCGCAGCTTAAAGAGGAGGGGCCTTTAAAATGAGATCTGTCATAGTGACCACTTGTTTGAAGTAGTCAGTTGGGAAATATACCCTCTTTTTTGCTTTTCAAAATACAGTGGTAATCTTACCAGCGAAGTGATTCTTGATGCCGTATCCTCTTGCCATTTCCCCGTGCGGAAGTGTGGCTGGGTGCTAAAGTGCAGCGTCAACAGCCCACTGTTCACCTAGGAGTGCTGCAAAACACGTCCTAGGGAAGGGGTCAGTGCACCACAGTGCAAAACCAATAAGCAGTCTGCACAGTCAGCCCTTCCTGCAAAGAGGAAGGACCAGTTTCCCCTTAGGCCATCCCTGAAGACTGTCTTCATTTAAGGACTACGGTTTGGGGCTGAAAGTGTAAGACCTGTGCGGCCTGAGTAGCAGTAAGGCTTACTGGCTTCTCTCCAAACCCCCCAACTATCAACGTTGCAGAGGTACAAGGGAAGGGCTGGATTGGTTTAATTGCCCTTTGCCCAGGTGGGTCGATAAAAGTTGTCTTGGATACCTCTGTTAATACAACTTGAGGCTGCTTGCTCGATAGGCAGTAGTGTCCGCTCGAGTGAAGAGGAAAACCAAGCCCTGTGCATGAACAGGAGTCTCCCAGTCTTGTACTTTAAAGGGGGGTCCTGTCTAGCAGGGTTTTTCCCACGTGTTCAGACTGTCCCAAAACAAAGATAGCTTCTCTTCGGCAGTGGCTGAAGTTCCCTTTCCTAGCATTGTGCTTAGGGAAGACGGGGAAGGGATGAGGACTCACTTGTGTGAATGGGCCACCGCGAGGCGAGCCCTGCCACAGAACTCTCTCATATTGGGGGTTTTTCTGATGGGAGTTGGGGTTCAAATCCAGCTGCCGGTCAAGTACGGAGGCAGTGAAATAGTGCCTGTCTGAACCTGGGAGAGGGCCGCGTGCCCACCATCTCAGTCCCCCATGCTAGCCAGTCATCCCTAGGACCCTGCAGTTTTTCAGAGGCTGCTTTTAACCACTTAGTAAGAAAGTAGCCTGTGCAGTTGCCTTTTTCATATGCACGTAGAGATGTCCGGTGGGGCACAAAATACATAGGCGAACATAAGAACCAGTGTATTTTGCCTCATGTTGAATTGGGGGTAAAAATTCAGGGGTGCATACCCACTTTATTAACGAGTTGCTCTGTGTTTCTGCTGGAGGCTGAATCCACAATGACTTTTCTGTGGTGTTTGTTTTTGTTTTAGATGATCACTGTGTACAGCCTCCCAGGGATGGATCCCGACTGGCTCGTAGGGGAGAGAGGCAATCAAAAGGGGAAGGTGCCCGTCACCTACCTAGAACTGCTCAGTTAAGCACCTCTGGGAAAGGAGCCTTCAAGCAAGACTTCCGCCCCTCTGTCTCCCGGCGCCTTTGAAAAAGGCTGGCCGACTTCATCCAAGACCATTGCTCTCTTCAGGGCCAGATTTCACTGTTTGGATTGAGGCAACCGAGGGGGTGGGGGGGTGTAGTGAGGGTTTGGGTGTGGGCACTTTCACCTCTCCCGTTTCCGATCAACCAACCATGCACACAACTGGCTTGAGGGGTTAGCAGTAACTAATTTCTGGATTCCCTCTAGTTTTAAGACCCTTGCGGCTGACTAATTAAATGAACCCCACCCCCTTTTTCTCTTTCCTTAGAACGGCAATGAATTTTCATAGGTGCAGCAGAGATTTTTCTAGACTTCGGTTGACCTGTCGTGGGAGGTGCCTTTTTCAACCTGGCCTGAGTTGTTCGCTACTTGTCGTCCCCGCCCCCCCGCCCCGCTTGTCTGCTTCTAGCCATTTTGTGCGTTTTCACCTGAGTTAAGGAGAAACTGGCTTATTTCCACCCCAAGCCAGCCCTTTGGCTTTTCCTTAACAATCGTGAACAGGTTAGTGAACAGAGAGCCAGGAAGAAAGAATGGGAGCTTTGGCAGATGTCACGGCTCTCTAAAGCGAAGCCGTGGGGTTGGGGGGAGGGGGCTGCTGCTGCGAATCAATTGATCCGAGAAAAGGCTTGGAAACGGTCCTTGTTCAGCTTCTCCCCTCTCCCCCCCACACCCCATTGTTGAAGTTGCACTTGCCTTTGCCTTTCTCCTGTCACCAACCCCCCCTCCCTGTTCTGATGTGACTTTCTTTGGTTCCCAGCCCTCTTTGGTAAGGTAGCCAGGCTGGACTTTGTTTTTTGTTTAACACCATGTGTCAAGATTAGAAGCAGCTGTTTGGTTTCTGGAAATCTATGAAATGCTTTTCCTCTTGCACATGGGAAGAGAACTCCATACTGGCCTTTCTGTCCCACCCGTTGGCTTGCACATTAATGGGGGGGGGGGGTTGTGATGCTTTGCAGTTCCTTGTGAATCCCTGCGGGGCCCTCCTTGCCTGGGAGGGGTGCCACCCATCGCGCCCACGCAGACTGCTGAAGGGCAGCGTAAAGCCATATCTCTTCTCAAGGTAGTGGGAAGAGCCAGTCTTCATGACAACAGTGCAGATTAAACCCGTCAGCTGCTCAGCAGGGCCACTGGCTGCATGGACCACTTTGGCTTGCTTGATTTTATTCCCATCAAGTTCTTTCTCTCTTCTGAGCTTCTTTGTGATTTTCCCTGATGTTAAGACTTCAAAGCACTTCCATGTTGGGGAGATGTTGGTATGTATACATACATACATACACAAGGTTGACTTTTTGCCAATAAACACCTAGCCTGCTGCCCTGTTGTGCTGCTATGTTTTGTGAGTTTAATTCTCCTGCTGTGCTGCTGTTCTCGCTTGGAGGCTGCAGAGGGAGTTTTCCGTCTCCCACTTGGGCTTGTGTGTCACTCTAGATCAGGGGTGCCCACCGCCCTCACTGACAGCGTTCCTGGTGCCCACCAAGTGACTTTAGCAAAGGGTGGGCGTGGCGTGGCGTCGAAGCGCTGCCGCAAATCCGACGCTGTTTCCACCCCGCCCGAATTACCCATGCGAACGTCCAAAAATCACAAATAAACAAGCCCCGCAACAACGTTTGATTTAATACAACACTCCGGATTCCGTGGCGCTCAAAAGGGTGAGTGAAAAATCGCAAAATAAGCAGTTTTCCGAAGCTTTGTGGTGCAATCGAACGATTTTAAAAATGGCTGCCGATAGTTTAAAAAAAAAAAAAAGCAAAGGGTGGGCCTTTTCTCCAGTAAGGCTTCCGATTGGCTGTGCACGTTGATTTGGCAGTGGCCGCTACAAGCAGCGCAAGGATCCTCACTGTGTGTCTGAAGGGAAGCAGCAGCAGCCATTTCGTGGCTGTGTCCACCGCACCGTGTCAGATTTCCACAGTTGCACACGGGCTCAAAAAGGCTGGGGACCCCTGTTCTCGATGCAGGGGGTGGGGAACAGGAACTGCTTAGCTCTGAGATCTGACGAGATCGGGCTTGCCTGGGCCCTCCGAGTCAGGGCTGGAACGGCTGTTTCTGATGTGTGTGTGTGTGTGGGGGGGTGTCTCTGGGTCAGGGGATGAGAAACTTCTTGTTCTGCAAAGCGGCAGTGCCCATCTTCCCTTCCTCCCAGAAGGCTCTGGGTGCCTGAACACCTTTCTAGACATGCAAGAAGCGGCTCTTTCTCTTGTTGCCTGTGCAGATTTCTGAACAGTTGATCCCAGTGTCCTCTGAGCAGCCGTAGGTAACGCTCTCCCCCCCCCCCCCCCGCTAAGAAAGGTAGTCTGAGCAGAGTCTGGATCGCCGGGCCAGAACCTCCAGCTGCCCAGTCAGGGGTGATGCCTGCCTGCCTGCCCCCAAGCAGCTTGGAGGAAATCTCTTCCTCTCTCTGGAGCTGTTCGACACGACTCGGCTCCTGGCTTCCCTGTCAAAAGCAGAGGCGCCAGCCCCCCGTTCTCTCCTGAGCTGGCTTGTTCTCTGGCCATTCTTTTTTTATTATTATTTGCAACCAGGACTAGACTTACCAAGTACTTACCAAGAATCTGCGGGGGACACATACTTCTTCTCAGGACCATTCCTGCGCGGTAAACAGAAGTGACGCCAGGCGACGCTCTGGCAATGGGGCTAGAAACTCAATGGCACCATCGCGTTTCCAGCCCCGTTGCAAGAGCGTTGCCTGGCATCACTTCCTGGCGACGGCATGGTGTGGCGTGGCTGTGTTACAGGGAGGAATGTTCTGGCCGATTCGCGGTAGGTACTTGGTAACCCTAACCAGGACAGAGAAAGTTGGCAGCTGGGTGAGGAGGAGGCAGGGGCACTCCTGTCCTTGTCAACGATGGGTACACCCCGATGGTTTTTAAACCTCTCCACTGACGGGGGCAGGGGGCCTGTATTTGCTATGGTGAAACTATGTGACTTGCTGTGAATTTTTTAAAACCTCTGGAGGGGAAGGAAGCAGGCAAAGAGCCCGGATGTAAAGGGCGGATCCACCACTACTGTGAACTGCTACCTTGATTAATAAACTACTACCTGCAATTCACTTCCTCGGCTCGTTCATTGCAGGCTTGAATGAGTGAGCAGAACTGCACTCGGAAGCTCAGCAGGTGGGGGTGGGGCTGCGCTCGGCTAAATGGTTCCCTTTGCTTGCCTGGCCCAGCAGTAAACTGAAGCGGCTGCAGGGACGGAGGTGGAAAGGATGGAGTCTGATGGGGGCGGGGCTGGAAACCATCCTTGTCCTTAATCGGTGGGACCAGGAAGCACCTCTGGCTAAGATAATGACATTCCCACTTGTGGAACCTGAGTCTCCGTCTCTGTTTAAAAGAACAAGGGCTCCATGGAGTTTCTGGAACCCTGCAGGGATGCTCCGAGCAGGTGACTTTGCACCCCCCCCCTCCCCGTTCCCTCAGCAGTGAACAGCCGCACCCCCACCTGCATCCCCACTCTTGGTTATCAACTTTTCATGTCGAAAGGAGCTGGACTGGCAGAGGAAGCATGAAGGGTCTCCTTGAATCAAGGCCAGACTCCACACAGTGAGTGTAAGTCAAGCACTCCTCTGCACAATGTGGTGCGGGGTTAAGAGCAGCAGCCTCTGATCTGGAGAACCGGGTCGGATTCCCCACTCCTCTCCTCCACATGAGGCCCGCTGGGTAACCTTGGGCAAGTCACCGTTCTCTCTCTCAGCCCCACCTACCTCACAAGGTGCCTGTTGTGGGGAGGTGATTGTAAGCTGCTTTGAGACTCCTTACGGTAGAGACAAGTGGGAAGTAAAAACTTCTTCTTCCCTGAGCTATCAAGCCTCAGGCAAGAGAGAGAACACTGCAAAGCCCTCTAAAGAAAACACCCCACCCCCGAAAAGAGGCTTCGGCTGGCATTCTGCTTGGTTATTCCAGCATCGCTCACTTTTTCTGCTTTTCCTTCTGGGTTATTTTTAAGCCATTCAGGCAGGGAGCTGTCCGTGTTATTCTCTGCATATGGCTGACGGGGAGTTTTAAGAAGTGCGTTCCAAAGCCTTGTGTACTCCCCTCTTACTCAAAGCCGGCTTCTTGTTTTATCCTCTCTCCGTAGCAAGATTCTTTCCTTGAAGCAACAGCTGAATACTAAAAAAACCCAACCCAACAGACAGCCCTACTGTGCTTCTTGAACTCAAGAACACCTGATTTCCAACACTGCCTAGAAATGGTTTTAATCAGTATAAATAGGGAACGTGTTGTACAAAAAGTGAGACCAGCAGTAACGGCATTGACTCTACCCTTCCCCTCCCCCCTCCCTTTTTTTGCACAAGATGAGCAGGTGGGGAAGAAAGCCAAGAGACGCTGTTCTTTCGAGATGTCTCTCACCTGCAGACAGCACAGATGTTCTTCTGTCACCCAGAGTAGCAGCGACTGGCCCAGTATGTAAGTCCTTTGGCTGTGCGTCACCAGAGGCCACATCTCTGCGCTACAGAAGTTAATGCCCGATACAGGGAGGGAAAAACACTCGCAGCCAGTCTCTCTCTTTCCTCTTCCCCACCTCCCACGCTCAGCACGAGCGATAAAAAATAAGGAATTTGGTTCACCGACACCAATGTCCTCTTAGCACACAGAGCAAAGGCATCTTGCGACGATGTGTCTCTGGCAAGGGCGTGGCCAACGAACTCCTCTTTATCTCTGCACGTGTCGGACAAAGGCCTGCACCAGTTGGAAGAGAGGCTCCTGACCTTCCGGCCCCAGCTTGGAGGCAGACTTGCCCTGTGGGGAGGGGAGGACGCCACCGGCAGGAGAAGAGGGCCCCCCGCGGCGGAAGTAGCGGGACAGGCTGGAGAGGAGGGTGCTCTGAAAATGAGAAGCCGGCAGTGAGTCTGATTCCTCGGTTTACCCCACCCACACGAGCGCTGTCGATTTCCTGGGCCAGCCAAGCGGGGTCAGCCCTGGTTAGGACTTGGATGGGAGGCCACCCAAGAAGCCCAGGACCAGCAGGCGACATGGCAGGCCGCCTCTGCTCCTCGCTGGCCTGGAAGACACTACAGAGGTGGCTGCAACTTGACAAAAAAGGGGGGACAGGGTTCCAGGGCTCCCTCTAAGCTGTGGAGTCTTGTGAGCAAAACTTTGTGAGCGACTGGCATTAAAGTTGTGAGCGAGCCATTTGGCTACTGCATAAATTAGGGTGCCCTGGAGCCATTCGTCCTGAGCGAAGGCAAAAAATGTGTGAGCCGGAGGCTGAAAAACTGTGAGCCAGCTCACTCTAACTCAGCTTAGAGGGAACACTGGTGACTTCACCCATCCCAGCAAGACACTTAAGTTGAAGAGGAGGCGGTTACTCCTCCCAGGACAGGGCAAGCACTCCTGAACCTCCTACTCCAGAGTTGAATAAGAAAAACCTCACTACTTGCCAGTTCAGAGCTGAGTTCCTGCTTCATCCATTGCTTGTCACGGGGGTGCACAGCCGGGTCCTTCAAATAGCGGACAGCTTGGGAGATGAGCAGGTAGAAGCAGTTTTCCATTGTAAACATAAGCAGGGACCTGGAGAAGGAGACGCAGGTCATTCCAGAATAAACCAGTTGTTTGTTTTTTTAAAATATTTATGCTACCTTTCCACCCGATCCGGGTCCCCCAGGCGGCGTGCATAAAAACATTTAAAATGATAATTCCATCAAAACACATAGAAACAACTCCAGAACCAGGGAGGATGGCCGATTGCAGTTACTAGTGGTATGCCGAGCAACACGCAGCCTTCCCCTGCTGATGGAAGTCACTCATAGGTAAAGGTAAAGGTTTCCTTGCTCGAAAGCCAGTCGAATCCGACTCTAGGGTTGCGGTGCTCATCTCCGTTTCAAAGCCGAAGAGCCAGCGCTGTCCGAAGACGTTTCCGTGGTCATGTGGCCGGCATGACTAAACACCAAGGTGCACGGAACGCTGTTACCTTCCCACCAAAGTGGTACCTATTTATCTACTTGCAATTTCTTGCTTTCGAACTGCTAGGTTGGCAGGAGCTGGAACTAGAAACAGGAGCTCACCGTCTTGCGGCACCCGGGTCTTGAACCGCTGAACTACTGACCTGCCACAGCCTGCAGTTCAGCGTCTTAACCACTTGAGCCACCGCAGCTCCATAAGTCACTCATAGAGGGAGACAAATACATCTCCCTGGGAAGGTTTTGGTGCCGCAATGGAGAAAGCCCTTTCTTGGGCCATCGCAGCAGGTGCCTCTGAAGATGACCAGAGTGAATGGGCAGGGTCACGTGGGAGAAGGCAGCCCTCGGTCACCAGTGAGTCTATGCTGCAACTGGGAATCATTGGACCCTTTGCCCAGACCTCCCCGAAAGATCCCAGGTGCCCCTCATTACAGAGTTCACCTCTTGCCCAACCCAAGAGATTGGGGGGAGGGGTAATATCCAATGGAGGCAAGGGCCGGGCCGGGCCGGCTAACAGAGCCCCAGCGTGCGATAATGCCGAGAACTGATGCAGCACTTCAAATACATCTTTGCAATATCAACCGTACAATAAGCGATGAGAAGCCAGCCGCTGCTAGCCCCTTGCTGTCGATCTGAGGAAAGTTGGCTTACCTAAGGACACCTACATGAGTACACAGCGGCAGCAACATTCGAACGGAGGCCTGCCTTCCATTCCCCTCCTCCAGCCTTGGGAATTTTGCTCTGTCTGTTCTCTCCACTGACACAAGCGGGATGCACTAATGTAACACGCCCCAGAGCAGCAGCTGTGAGGCCCACAGGCTGCCGCCCCTCTTCCTCGGCTACAAAGGTGACCACAAAAATCTGAGACCAAAGCCCAGGAAGCCAAAGAAGCAGGGAACTAAGGATGCCCTGGCCATCTCTACAACTCTGTTGTCAGCTGTACGGGACGAGGTCCACCTCACTATCTACGGTGTCATGTCTCTAAGTGCTAAATAATGTTGACACAGGAGCAGTGCCTATGCCTCTCGGGATTAAAAAGATCCAAAGAACAGACAATTCCCAAATGAATCCTCCGGGAAGGCCCAAACAACAGTCCGCTGGGAGTCCCCAGGCGTGGCGTATGCCGTGCTTGAAACCAAGGAGGAGCACAAAAGGAGCCCAGGGACTTACTTGAGAGTCTTGTTTCCCTCCTGCTGGGAGGCCAGTCCTGCAGCTGCAGTGAAGGGCTCCTTCTTCTTATCCAGCTGGAGCAAGGAAAGAAAGCAGCGTCACATCAGTGAGGGACACACACACAGGACAGGCAGGGATTCTGCAGTTCCAGTCAAGGACAGAACTTGGCATGAAGTGAAGGGTTCAGCAACCACTTCTAGGCAAGCCCAACCTCCTGGCGAGGACGGGCTTGCCTACATGCCGGCAGCAGCCGGTGGAGACTCCCAAGCCACAAAATGCCTTGGCAACAGAAGCTAGTCTTTTGAGGGCCCTGGACTATCACAGGCAAGACTCACAACCAGAATAAGCAGGCCTTAATTATCACCAAATAAAGGAGAAGTTGACTAAAGAGGCGTTCTGTTTTACATTGGGAGGGGAATGCCTCCTCTAAGACTGCACTTGTCGGTTGCAGATTTTATAAATACTTATTTTAATATTTTTTAATGTACTGACCATTTAAATGAGGGCAGCTTTTAATCAAGCAAGATGCATTTACTCAATTAAAATAGATACATTGGATTCCACTAAGAACATAAGAACCTAAGAGAAGCCAATGTTGGATCAGGCCAATGGTCCATCCAGTCCAACACTCTGTCACACAAAAATACCAGGTGCCATCAGGAGGCCCACCAGTGGGGCCAGAGGTGTGCAAAAAAATTTTAATTACTGTTTATCGATTCGAGTCTACTGACCCTCCCCCCCAAAAAGGGGATTTTCAAAAAAAAATCCTCGATCCAACAGACCTGAGAAGGAAAATACCAATTTGTTGGGTTTTTTTTAAAAGCCAGACCGATCCTGGGGCTGGCTTGGCCTCTCCTGCCACCCGGTTTAAACTGGGCGGCAGGAGAAGCCAGCAGAAAGCTGAGCTGGCGGGGGACGATCCACTCCCCGCGGGCACAGCTGATCCTGGCTTGGCTCACTTCTCCTGCAGTCCTCCCGTTTAAACCGGGCGGCGGGAGACGCCAGCCCCAAGCCCAGCCAGTGGGAACAGCCTGCTCCCCACCAGCACGGCTGGCCCTCAGGCTGTCTTCGGCAGCCCCTTTAAACTTTGACAGAGACGGCAGTAGAAGCCCGACAAACAACCGAGAGGCGAGAGCACTCTGCTCCCCTCTCTCCCCTGCTTTCAGACCTACCTGGTAATTCCCAAATACATCCAGGTGTCAGGTAGCCCTGTCATACGTCTGGAATGTGGAGGGGTGCCGTCCCGTTTTCTGTCTCGGCTCTCCCTGGCTCACCAACTGTTTGCTATCTTATGCTTGACCTTGTAGATGCTCCAGCTGCAGTTTTACTCGGCTGGGAAAGTTAAAGGTTTTTCGCTTTGCCCGCGCGTGAGCGATGTATCCATTGGCTCATGCTTACTGGGGGGATGCTTGATTCTAGTATAAGTCAGAGGCCCTCGTATAGGCAGCCATTCCTGACACAAGCTGTACACGTGTCTCTAGTACTGGATTTACCAATAAACAGTTATCTTTTCATGAAGCCCTGTGTTGCATAACCTGACTAAGGACCCTGACACCAGGATTTTTTCGGGATTTTTCCCCTGGTTTTCCCAAGAAAAAACGGATACATTTAGGATTCCAGAATCTAACTGGAAAATACCAGTAGGGCATTTTCCAGGCAGGTTTCCGGCTCGGGTAGCTCCAAATGCACAGCCCTAGCTAGATGCCACCTGCCCCTTCCTCGGGCTCCTTCCAGAAAGAGCTCCGGAGTGATGACTGAATTCCAGAGCTGTTCCCCTGGACCCTTCTTACCTCCCCCAGCATGTTGAGGGCCACGTTGACAGTGGCCAAGAGGGTCCCAAAAGAAGGGGCAACTTCTGAATCAAAGGCTGGAGTTGTAAAGCTCAGCACAAAAAGAATGTTGTACTCGGCGAGGTCCAGCGACTGCAACACAAAGCCAAGATCAATCGGTACACATGAAATCCAGAGCAGGTCATCTCACAAGCCCAGAGCCTTTTAAAGCATTACCAGAGACGAGATACCAGGATTAGCTATATCGGGATTTCACAGATCAGCAGACCAAGGATACCTGCCAGTAACCAAACAACTGATGGAAGCATCCACACTGTCAAACCTTGCTTTGCTTTGCTCGCTTAGGCTGTCATAGTTACTGGGGGGAGGGAATTCCTATGGGGAGGGGAGGGGGGTGCGTGTGTTGAGTGAGTGGGAACCTTTGCTTTTAGGAGCCATAACTTTCCCTGCAAGATGTACCTCCCTTCTCTTTCCCAGGGAAAGGTGTCCTTGAAGCTTTTGGTACCAGCTTTAGCAGTAGATAACCAAACCATATATTTTCCCATTTGGCTGAGACGCTAGACGGGGTGTTTGTGACATGTACATGGGGGAAGGGAAGAGGGCTGTCTGAATTGCCTGTTTTAAGCATGTGCCCGCCAAAATCTTCAGTTCTAACACAAGTGATGTTCAGGATCATGCATACGTCTCAATAAACATATCACTGCCAAAGAGAGTGTTGTTGAGAGTGTTGACTGGGAGTCTGACATACACAGATCCAATCTCAGCTAGGGCAGGGGCTAGTTCTCACCGAAGTATTGAGCATGTGCCTGGGCAGTACTGTCTCTGACCACATGTGGGAGCTCACAGCAAGTCAGAGAAAAGGCCAGGGTAGAAACCTTTTGACTGATATGAACAAATGCTCCCATATACCCAAGAATCCCCGCATCAAGAAAACTAGCATGCCAGGGAGAAGGGCTCTAGATCTCTTCAGCCTGCTAGTTTTCTGGGATTCTTTTGTCTGGAGAAGTAACTAATCAGCTTGAAGTGGTTCACACACACCAGCTGACCAGCTCAGTAGAGAATCAGACCCGGCAGTAGGTAGGTGCCTGGGGAAAACAGGGTGGACCATCACTTGCTGGCCTCCATAGGCAAGGGGCTTCAGGAAAATGCACCCTGATTTGCACGGGAGTGGGAAATCTGGGTTTTCACCACAACAGTGACCAGGGACCTTTATTCAATGTGGAAGTCTTGCAAAGAGGAAAACCAAATCCAGCAAGTTTGCAGGATGAGTAACTTAAGCCAACCAGGTGGCATTTTTTCCTCCACCACAGGCCCCAATCCAACACAGACTACACAAACAGAGGGGAGGGGCAGCACAGTGTCCAAGAGACTGAGCTATCGAGCAAGAAGTGCCGAATTCCAAACTCACCCCAGCCACGAATACATGAGAGGGCCTTGAGCAAGCTGCCCCCCCCCTCAACCCCCATCTGAAATATGGTAGATAATACTCATTCCCAACCTTGACAAGCCTGTCCTAAGGATAACCTGATGCACTTGGAACATTCAAGAGCCCACATATGAGTAAACTGAGGCTTGGTCAGGCCAAGTGAATGAAAGCCTTCATCTGCAAATCAGACAGATTTAAAAAAATCTCAGTCACCACCGTTTGTGGAGAGGAGTCAGGGGTCAGGGGTCGTCAAACAATAACTCCCAGCCAAGTTGCAGCCGCTTCTGCACAGCACAACATCAGCCCATGTTTGCCAGAGCCTCAAGGACAGCATTTTGGACTCCTCCCCTCCCCCCAGGTGCCTGGCTTCCTAACCTGGTCGAGGAGGATTTGGCAGATGTCGGGGGTGAAATGGCGCAAAGAGGCGAGGGACTTGCTGAGGATTTTCAGGAGGCTGTACTGCACCATGCGCAGTGCCTTCTGCTCGGCAGCTTCCGTCTCCGAGCTCGGGGGCTTGGTGGAGGCGTGGGGAGCACGCTGGCCCCGAGGCATGACGGCAGAGGGCAAGGACTCCCCATTCTTGGTCTGGAAAGGAAAAGAAGTGCACAAGTGAGACAAGTGAACACAGGGCCTTGCCTGCTGTGGTCGGTGGACCACTCTGAAGCACATTGCATCTATGCTTCAGCACTGGCACTGACTGCCTTTTGGGGGGGAGGCCTGCCGTTTTGAGTACTCAGCAGCAAACACTTCCCTGCCTTTTGGAGGCAAAGTGTGGTCTTGTTTTTGGCCCTCAATGGATTGAGTCTGGCATACCTGAGATCTCCGTCCTCACTAACTTGTGCTCGTGCCCAAAGCTGTTCTCTCTTGGGTTAGCCAAAGACCTGCCAGAATCTAGCCAATCTCCCAAAGCACTGCAAGTTCATCCCATTGCGGTTGTGGCAAGTCTGGGCATCACCCTAACCAGGCAAGAGTCTGTTGGGATCCTTGTTATGTATCGGTGGAATTTCTGCATATTTTATACATGGCTTTGTTTTGCTTTGCTGTTGTCCTGAACCTTTGGGATGGGGAAGATCTAGACAGACCGATTAACCACTAAGGGCAGCCTGACGGCTATTTCTCAAATCCAATATGCTCTCAAGTGTTGGTACTTGGTCCAGTGATTTGAGGTTTAAAAGTAATCATTTCACCAAAAAAGAGGCATTCTCCTGAATGGTGGGTACAGGCTGTCTTTCCTTGCCTCCCGGTTGCACCAATGTCTGTCTGCGCCTGCCTCGGCCCACCCTCTGCTCAGGTCCCAGGCGTGCCGGCTGCTCCTCAGCACTGGCAGTCCACCCCAAGTCCCTTCTCTCGCCTGAAACATCCACGCCCTGCACTTTCAGTCAGCTACGAGACAGCTTAGCTCAGAATACAAATTCTCAGTCCACCCGGAGGGCGAGCCTGGCGGAACCTGCACCCCCAGCACCGCAGAGGCAGGGAGCAGAGTGGCTCCTCGGGGGAAAGGTGCCCCCTGGCCGGTTCTGCCCCTGCCCACAGAGCCTGCCTCTCAGACTCATCCCTGCTGCGAGGAAGGCCAGGACAGGGAGGTGCCTGGGACCCGGACACATCACTCTGACACAGCCCAGAACAAGGCAGGGGGCCAGGCAGAGGCACGGTCAGCAGACAAGGCCCAGCTTGGATCTGGGGAAGGCCAGACACCAGGCAGCAGGGGGAAGAAGCGGGAAAGGCTTTGCTGTCCTCTCCCAGTCTCCCAGACAGAGAAGGGGGAAGAAGATTAGAGACAGGCCAGGGAAGGCCAGGGAAGACACCACACCTGGCCAGGGACTGAGCCTGCACCAGGGAGGGAGGGAGGGAGGGAGTGTGTGTGTGGAGAGCCAGTCTGGTAAAGGACTTCGGTGCTGGAAACCACCCACCCCCCTTCCCCAATTCTGAGGCCGGTGGGTGAGTTGCACTTTTTGGTGGTGGGACAGCGGATGGCAAGAAGACCACCTTGCAGGTGGGGGAGCCTCACATGCCCCATCTTTGTGATTTGATGTTTTCCTCCCTGCATGGCCCTTTACTTTCACGCCATGCCCAGAGCACACTTGGAAGGGAGACTTCCAAGGATTCCTCATTAAGTATTATCTTGAACACGCTTCCGAGGGAGAAGTTCCACACGGACAGCCTGGCTAGAATTCCTAGGACAGCTATGCCTGAGAGTACGTTTTCTGCTACTAGACAATGAAGGATGAGTTGTGTATAAGATGACTGTTTTCCGATTTTTTGCACAACCGATCCAGAGAAGAAGAAAAAGAGGAGAGATTGGATTTATAGCCCGCCCTTCACTTGGAGTCTCAGAGCGGCTTACAAACTCCTTTCCCTTCCCCTCCCCACAACAGACACCCTGTGAGGTGGGTGGGGCTGAGAGAGCTCTGACAGAAACTGCTCTTTTTCAAGGACAGCTGTGCCAGAGCTTGTGTCTGACCCAAGGTCACATCAGCAGGTGCAAGTGGAGGAGTGGGGAATCAAACCCGGTTCTCCCAGATTAGAGTCCGGGCACTTAACCACGACACCAAACTGGCTCTCTGCAAAGGGGGAAAAACTGCACTGCAAAAAAGGGGCAGAAAGGAACAGAGCGGGCAAGATTTTAGTAATCTGAACGGTATGCCTCATGTTTTTGTTGTGTTAAGATTTCTCTGTAGCACGTGTGTATTTTACACCCAGCTCTCCTTCCTCGGTGTGAAAAACAGCAATCGAGGGACATGCTGACACAACCCAAACCTTTTCAGCCTCTGGCAAGTTGCATTTCCAAAGCTGTTCTGCTTGATGGTGGGAAGTCTAATGCTTGACTGAAACATATAATAAAGGCAAGGCAAAAAAAACCCTCACACCAGGTCTCATTTAAGCTGGGCGTAGAACCCCATGCAAAGTGGCTACTTAAAGAAGGAAGCTGCAACCTTGTTTCTTAGGCTTGCTAATCAAGTGAGAATCAGTGGCTGCAAGTCAATCTGCCCAACTTGCACCCGACACTGCATGTGCAGGACTTGGGACTTTTGGGGGGTGCAGAACGACCATTGGTACTCACCGTGAGGGGTCATTCTCCTCTGAGGATTGGAGGACATCCTGTGTGGGTGATTCCCATCCATCATTCAGGGAGGCAGGACTTACAAAAGAACTTCCTGTTTCCTGTGGTGGGAGTCACCCTTTCCTCAGTTTGGGTACTCCGAAAAGCAGTAAAGGTTGATAACCTATTAACGACATCCTTTTAAAAGAACATAACTACGTACAGGAAATTCTTAACTTCTCTCTTTCTACAATAGGGTTATACACATAAGATAGTAGTACAGTCAGAACGTAGGCAATGTAGAAACTTAGTCTCCAATACTTACGCATGACGGCGACCTGGGGGGGCCGGGATGTCCTCCAATCCTCAGAGGAGAATGACCCCTCACGGTGAGTACCAATGGTCGTTCTCCCTCTGAGTTGGAGGACATCCTGTGTGGGACCTTCCCGAGCAGTGTCCCTAATGTTGGGATGGGAGGTCGTCCGCATGTGAAAAAACACAAATTGCAGAACCCTTCTGCCAAAGGCCGCCTTTGCCGAATCGTATATATGAATTTCATAGTGTCTGATGAATGTAGACAGAGGCGGCCAGGTTGCTGCCCTGCAGATTTCTGCAATCGATGCTCTGTTGCAGAGTGCCGCGTTAGTGGCTGCGCTACGGAGAGAATGGGCCATGATACCGGGGGGTACTTGCTGACCGCAGCTTTTATACGCCCCCGCAATACAGGCCTTCACTGCAGCGCTCAGGGCTGATTTGGACATTTTGTCCTTTGTTAGGGACAGAGACGTTGACGAAGAGAGCCTCTGTTTTGCGGAAGAAAACGGTCCGATGAATGTAACTCTTGAGTGCCCTACGCACATCTAGTGTGTGTCCAATCTTCCCCTTGGCGTGGACTGGGTCCGGGCAGAAGAAGAAGAAGAAGGGAGATATATCTCCTGGGAGTTGTGGAAGACAGAATTAACTTTGGCACTGAAGGTGGGGTCTGTTCTAAGTACTACCTCGTCCTTATGAAAGACGCATAGGACCGAACGCACCGACAGGGCTCCCTTCGTCCCCCATCGGAGACACGTCGTCACCTGACGATGGGCCAAAATCTCCAGGTAGGCTTTTCCCAAAATGGTGTTATACACTTTAAAACAAAACTTAAAACTTTAAAACAAAACTTAAAAGGGGAAAAACCAATGAAGCATCTTTGAAAGAGGAGCTCTTTCCAGATAACGCAACCTGTAAGGCAAGAAGAACCTTGGAGAAAAGGTGGGGGGGACAAGTCTATGCAGACGTCCCGGTCCCATGAAGAATACCAAGGGCCAAAACTCAAACATTTGAGAAAACAAATGGAAGAATGCGATCTGGTGTATTGGATAGAAATCAATAAGGATAGAATGCAATAAGGAGCCAGACGGCCTTTCTCCCCCTGTTGCAGGGATGCCTGTGGCTTATAATTTATTAATTACCATAAGAATAACTGTAATTTGCCATGGCTTTTAGCACACCTGCTCTTGTTTAGCATAGAATGGGAGCTTTTTTCATTTATGAATAGGGGAGTATGTCAGAATGTCGGCACAATGTTAGATTGTGACGAGTAAGCATCTCTAGCTCGTAACCCATATTTGCGAACATTAAACCCAGAAGGCAAGGATAAACTTTATGCTCTCCGATCTCTTTCCTTGAAAGCCCAGTCCCTCTGCATGTTGCAGAGCAGGTAGAGCAAGGTGCTCTTTAAATCTAGGCTGCTCTTAATGCAGCGCTTGTGGGAGGGTTGTTTCCCTTTGAACATACCTGTGAAGGAAAGGTTAGACCAAAACACGAAACACAGAACGCAAAAACACAAAAGGTGGTTGGGAGAGTTTGGTCAATCTCTCTCTCGCTTCCGATTTAGTGACATCGGGAAAACCACGAGGCCATTCAGGTTTGACCTAGATCGCATCCCTGATGAATATACAGTAGAGGTGAAGAATAGATTCAAGGGTCTGGATTTGATAGATAGAGTGCCTGAAGAACTATGGACAGAGGTTCGTGACATCGTACAGGAGGCAGCAATCACCACCATCCCAAAGAAAAAGAAATGTAAGAAAGCAAAGTGGCTTTCTGATGAGGCTTTACAAATAGCAGAGGAAAGAAGGAAAGCGAAAGGCAAAGGCGAAAAGGAAAGATTTACCCAACTGAACGCAGATTTCCAGAGAACAGCAAGGAGAGATAAGGAGGCCTTCCTGAATGAACAATGCAAAGTAATAGAGGAAAACAATAACCTCAGATATGCAGACGATACCACTCTAATGGCAGAAAGTGAAGAGGACCTAAAGAGTTTCTTGCTCAGGGTAAAAGAGGAGAGCACAAAAGTGGGCTTGAAGCTCAACATCAAAAAAACTAAGATCATGGCATCCGGCCCCATCACTCCTTGGCAAATAGAAGGGGAAGTCGTGCAAGTAGTGACAGACTTCACGTTCCTGGGATCCCAGATCACCGCAGACTGTGACTGCAGCCATGAAATTAAAAGACGCCTGCTCCTTGGGAGGAAAGCGATGGCGAACCTAAACAGCATGATAAAAAGTAGAGACATCACCCTGCCAACAAAAGTCCGCATGGTCAAAGCAATGGTATTCCCAGTAGTCATGTATGGCTGCGAGAGTTGGACGATAAGGAAGGCCGAGCGCCGAAGAATAGATGCTTTTGAACTATGGTGCTGGAGGAGACTCTTGAGAGTCCCTAGCTGCGGCTAGAGGCAGAGTAACTGCAGCGGAGCGCGGCTTCCGATCAAAGGCGATCGGGTGAGGAGGTAGGATTTAGGAGGCAAGCTGGAAGAGAGGAGGAGAAGATCGGCAGTTCTAGGAGATGAGGAGAGGAAAAAACTGGGGGGGTTAAAAGGCCCCCCTTTGTAATTATTATTGTTATTATTTTTATTTTTTATTTTTTTTTGATAGAAGGCCGTCCAGAGAAAGGTCTGAAAGAAAAGGGGAAGAAAGGAGGGTTAATGCTCTACAAGAAATAGCTTAGCAAGAAGGTAAGAAAGGTAAAAGGTTTGGCAAAGCCTAACGAGCTGCTCTCCCTCTTGAGGCAGGAAAAGAACTGAGGAAAGGGTGACTCCCACCACAGGAAACAGGAAGTTCTTTTGTAAGTCCTGCCTCCCTGAATGATGGATGGGAATCACCCACACAGGATGTCCTCCAACTCAGAGGGAGAAGACACTGGTGCCCCCCACCGGACAATAAGCAAGACACACCAGTACTGATCGACGGCTTCAATGGAAGGCCTAAGGCCTGGTTCCCCAGGGAGGTGGGGAACTGTGCGTTGGACGTGTAACCACTTTGGACTTCAGGCGGAAGACTGTGCACCAGAGAAAGAAAGGACAGTTCCACACACATAGAAAACTAGCACTTCAGGGAGGAGACTCGCTAGAATCTCTCCCTGACATGCTAGCTGTCTATGTGCCGGGAATTTTTTTATAGCGGTGCCTTCCATCCTGTGCAGTCTGAAGCGGTACAGCCCCAAACCAGGTTTACCGCCATTGTGAGACGTGGGTCCCTCACTTTCTTACCTGTAGATAGTGCTGAAGCATTTTTCGGCTATGCAAAAGGGAGGTGCAGGCCTGGCACAAGTAACACAAGTTCACCTGAAACACACCAGAAAGAAGCCCTAAACAACGCTTCCCCAAAAATGTCCCGCCTCAAAAGCCCATCTGCAAAATGGGCATTATGAGCTCCAAAGGGGAAGGGGAAGCAGTCTGCCCACTGGAAGAGCTCTGCAGGTTACGAAGACGCAGTCCTCCAGCTGCCTCCACTGCTGCTACTCCAGGGGAAGCCCCATGCGCAAGCGCTCCTCCTGAGTCACAGGTGCTGCCATGTCCGCCGGTGTGATGGAGGACCCGAGGTGGGCGGAGACGACAGATCTTCCTCACCTGCACATCCCGCAAGAGCTGAGGCAGATGGAAATGCCATTCCTTCGTGAAGTTGGAAAGCTGAAGGAGGAACCCCACCGTGTGGTCTGCTTCCTCGAGGCAAGCCAGACTCTGTACTGTCCGGACGGCATTCAGGCACTGAAGAGAGAAACAGCAGAGGCCCTGAGAACAGAAACCGCCCATCTTTACTCTGCCTGAAAGCAACACTGAAGTTGGGGTACCATCTCCCACCCGTACTGTGAGGAGGCACCCTACGAATCCTGCCTCCCCCCCCCCCACTCCAGGCAAGCTTCCTGGGGCAGGGAACATTTATTCCTGGCACCACAGAGCAAATATTATTTGTACTTCTATTTGTACCTGCACAAGCCTAGATGCTGACTGTATTCCACACAACAGGCTTTATTCCATGAGCCCCCAAGAGGTACATGCACAAAACACCTGTGTCAGGGAGCAGGGCCTTTACTGCAACTGCTCCACAGTTTATGCAACAACCTCCCCACGAAGGACCGGGGACGGGCATGGGGCTTCTCAGAGAGGACACAGAACCTCCTCATTCAAAAGGCTTGTGACTTCTGATCACGCACTGAGGCTCAACACTGTTTTTTACTGTTCCTCAATGTTGCCCTTCTGGTATTCACTGTGTTTTAGTAGTTCAGCAGTTCAAGACCCGAGTTGCCGCATGACGGAGTGAGCTCCCATCTCTAGTTCCAGCTCCTGCCAACCTAGCAGTTCGAAAGCAAGAAACTGCAAGTAGATAAATAGGTACCACTTCGGTGGGAAGGTAACAGCGTTCCGTGCGCCGTGGTGTTTAGTCATGCCGGCCACATGACCACGGAAACGTCTTCGGACAGCGCTGGCTCTTCGGCTTGGAAACGGAGATGAGCACTGCAACCCTAGAGTCGGACTCGACTGGCTTTCGAGCAAGAGAACCTTTACAGCACAGATATGCCAAATAATGAATTTGTTCATCTCCTGACAAACCTGAAGGATCCTCTCTTGATGAACACCTACAAAGTCCAAGGCATCTGTCAGGAAGTTGTACCGGAGGGTCTTCAGGAGGCGCTCCATCAGTGATACGGAGAGACGGTAGACCCCAGGCCAGGAGGGAGCATCCAGAGACTTCCGGGATGAAGCTGGCACCTGCACGCGAGAGTCACACCAATGAAAACCGACAGCTGTCTCCAAGATCAATTTAGAAATGGAATTGGCTTCTCCAGTGACATCAGCATGGGCAGGCTCTAGTCTAGGGGGTCCCAGGAATCTCTGTGGCAACAAGGGGAGTCTCAGACAAAATACCCAAGCCAGACAAGGAAGGGATACCCACCTGGCCGGCACCATTGCTGCTCAGCTGGTACACACTCAGGAGAGGCAAACAGATGCTCTGCATGATACCCGCTCCAGCCACAGCTGCTGCCCCCTGAAAGAGAACAGACAACCTGAGCAACTCCACACCATTCTCTCACCTGGAAAGCTCACCTGGTACGACACACACACACACCCCGATGTCAGGTAGCCCCGTCATAGGTCTGGAATGTGGAGGGGTGCCTTCCCGTTCTCTGTCTCGGCTCTCCCTGGCTCACCAGCTGTTTGCTATCTTATGCTTGACCTTGTAGGTGCTTCAGCTGCAGTTTTACTCAGCTGGGAAAGTTAACGGCTTTTGCTTTGCCTGCTTGCTTTGCCCGTGCGCGAGAAATGTATCCATTGGCTCATGCTTACCGGGGTGTGTGTGTATGTGTGTGTGTTTGATTCTAGTATAAGTCAGAGGTCCTAGTATTGGCAGCCATTCCTGACACAAGCTGTACACATTTCTCTAGTTCTGGATTTACCAATAAACAGTTATCTTCTCATGAAGCCCTGGTGTTATTGAGTGATCTGACTAAGGACCCTGACACCCACAACCTTTGCAAATGCAAAGAAATCTAACTACGCAGCTGCATGAAGCGCACATTGCCCATCATCTGTCACTTCAAGAACTACCACTGCTGTTAGGAATCGTTTGCACTTCAGGTAAAGTGCTCAGTGGGTCTCACCCCCACAATCAATCTCACGGCACCCACTTTCAGAGGCAACTTGACCCTGAACACCAACGCTTGGGTACACCAGTCCCATGTGTGAGTGCCCACAGACCGGCTTGGCCACTTGGAAACAGAATGCAGGCTGAGGTGAAGACCTTGGCCCAACCAAGCAGGGCTCTTTATGTGATAAGATGGGTGGCTCGTGCGCCCCTTCACAGAGGGAGAACTAAAGCAGAGGAAGAGAGGAAGAAATACTTGATCTTGGTCTTGTGCTTTCTCCTTGGAAGAAATGGGAACCAATGCATTCCTTGCAGTATATGTTAAAAAGAACAAGAGTCCAGTAGCGTCTTAAAGACTAACTGAATTTGTGGCAGGGGATGAGCTTTCGTGAGTCACTGTGTTAAGTTCTTGAATTCATTAGTTTGCAAGGAACAATCAAGCGCCCCCCCCCCAGCTAGAAACAATACGGTTTTCTCACCATCATAAAATTCCTTATAGCAGCACTCCTAACTGAACAGGAAAGGCTTGTGAAATGCTTGATCTAATCTATGAACCTGAATTGCCAGTTCTGTCCTTCGGTTCTTGAAATCGGCTGCCTGAAGCGCAAAGGCGGGGGTGCGTCTCATCTCTCCACTTGGCAGTCACCACCTCCCTCCGGAACAATTCACCTTCTTGAGCAGTTGTGCAGTTGGTGGCCACGGGCCAAATTGGGACCATAAGGTTTATTCTGCTAACAGCACATCCCTCCCACTCTAGCCAGGACTGGGTGAAGAAGAGAATCTGGCCTCCCCAAAGAAAAAGACAACGAGAGTTCAAGGGCAGATGGGCCCCAGAGTTGTTGGGGGGCCTTGACCCGGGGGGGGAGCCCCAAATCCCTCTGCACAATCTGGGTGGCCCTACCTGTGGAGCAAGCGGGGGAAGGAGTTGGCTGTTGCTGGTGGAGCAGCATGTTTTTTATTGCTACAGATTCAAAAGCCTGGCAGAAAGCACACATTTGTTCACTCTGGTGATGCCTTAAGAAGCCCTGGCCTGTCCTTTCACTATTGTGTGTTCTGACCATCTCCTACTGTGAGTCCTCAAGATGGGCAGCCCTGTTAGTCTGTCTGCAACAACAGAAAAGGATAAGTGTCCTTGAAGTAGTACCTTGAAGAATATCAAAATTTAGGGCAGGGGGAGGAGCTTTCGTGAGCAGTGACTCACGGAAGCTCATACCCTACCACAAATTTTCTTAGTCCTTCAGGTGCTCCTGGGCTCTTACTCTTTTCTACTGTGAGTCCTCGAGGTAGCGACCGTTTCACCTTGATATTCTGCACATGAAGTTACACCCCAACCAGCCTTAGAAAGAGGCAGAACCTTCTCCATAAAAGAGAGCCATCAAATGCAGGACGTTTTGGTGGGGACAGAATATAAACAGACTAAAACTAAAGATCCCTGGCCCCCTAACACAACGCCGGCTAGACGAGCTGTGTGTAAGGGCACACCAAGGTTCTCCAACTCTTGGCGCCTCTCTCACCTGCTGCGTTCTGGCCAGGGTCAACAGCAGGTGCAAGGAGGCCTCCGTGAAGTGAAGGTTTTGCTTTGCCTGGAGGCTGATCTCCAAGGTGGTGAAGAGAGTCGGGAGAATCGGGATCTTCCGGGTGACCTGCAGCCAGCAATCGCCGTCCTCGTCTACTTCGCAGAGCTCCTTCGCCAGGTGAAACCCCAACACACACACCTGCTGTGAGGATGAGTCATGAGAGAGAAAGGCACCCCCCAAATGTCAGGGGAGGGGAGGGCAAGCACTGACACTGTGAATACTTATTACTGGGGGACAAATTCAGTAATAATGCCTCTAGAGTGGTTTCGAATGCTTGAAGGGCTTCCCGTGCCTTACTTCGTAATCCTTGGCAGGACAGCTCTGTTATCACCCCAGTACTGCGGATGGGGTGCTGAGTCTGAGGCTGGCCTAAGGCCGCCCAGTGACTTCACAGAGTTAAACCAGGGGTTTCATGGCTCACAGCACAGTCTCTTGGCTGTTACGCTACACCAACTCAGCTCATGTTTTCCATGGTCCTCCAACCCATCCTGAAGTGTCGTCTCTGTATTTAAGAGCCTCGACAGCCAGTGTCCCCATTTCTTGCAGCTCTCCTTTTTCGGAACGGATGCTGGATTTCAGGGTCTTCCTGGCAAGAGGGAGGCTGCCATTGCTCTGTGCCCTTCGGAAGCAAAGCCCGAGCATTTGCAACTAAACCCCTCTTTCTTCCCTGCTTGCTTTCATCTCCTTCCGTCCCTTTGTTGGCTCCCCTGGTGTCAAATTTCAGCTGTGATCTTTGTCAAGCAGGGGCCTAGCTTCCTGAACTCACTTCTCTTGGTTCCCATTCCAGTGGATTAACTGGGTCAAAAGGTACTGCACCTCACTTATTCTGTTATACATTGAAAGCATCTGACCAGAGAAGAGAGGTAAAGGTTTCCCTTGCTCGAAAGCCAGTCGAGTCCGACTCTAGGGTTGCGGTGCTCATCTCCGTTTCAAAGCCGAAGAGCCAGCGCTGTCCGAAGACGTTTCCGTGGTCATGGGGCCGGCATGACTAAACACCAAGGCGCACAGAACGCTGTTACCTTCCCACCGAAGTGGTACCTATTTATCTACTTGCAGTTTCTTGCTTTCGAACTGCTAGGTTGGCAGGAGCTGGAACTAGAGACGGGAGCTCACTCCGTCATGCGGCACACTCAGGTCTCGAACTGCTAAACTACCGACCTTCCACAGTCTGCAGTTCAGCGTCTTAACCACCTGAGCCACCGCAGCTCAAGTGACCAAGAGACCAGGCTGCAAAACCCTGATCAGACACGAGGTTCACTAAGGAACCATCTGTCAACGGGGTGGAAGGATGATCCCCACATATGCTTTGGTGATCTCCATGGAGAAAAGCAGGGATTCAAATATGATACATCGGGCAGGACTGTGGCCCAGTGGCAGAGCCTCTGCTTTACATGCAGAAAATCCCAGGCTCAACAGCTGGCATCTCCAGCCCCAGGACCCTGAACAAGGGATGCCAGTCAGGACAATATGAACTACATCGGCCAATGCTCTAAATTGAAGAAGAATTCGGATTTATACCCCATCCTTCACTACCCAAAGGAGTCTCAGAGCGGCTTACAATCTCCTTTCCCTTCCCCTCCCCGAAACAGACACCCTGGGAGGTAGGTGGGGCTGAGAGAGTTCTTTCCAGAACTGCGCGTGAGATAAGAGCTCCGAGAGAACTCGTAACTGATCCAAGGTCACACCAGCAGCTGCATCTAGAGAAGTGGGGAATCAAACCCGGTTCTCCCAGATTAGAGTCCGTATTCCTAACCACTACACCAAAGTGATATAAAGAAACTTCACGTGTGTGTATTGATCAGGAAGTTCCCATTCAAACCCTCTGTTCCCATGATCCCCTTCTCCTCTGATGACATCTGAAGTCACTTGCCCCATCTCGCTGGTCCTTCTGTTTATGCCGGGAGGCATCATCTGTCTCCATGCTGTCCTTGTCGTCTGCAGGGTCTCCAGAGGTCAGGCAGTGCCGAGTCTGGTCAAAGAGAGCTACGACTTCCTCTTGGAGCGTCTCACACACACTCAACACCAGCTGGGAATACTGAGGGATCTCACTCACTGCCACACAACAGGGGGAAACACACAACATAGATGTCAGGGTTTAACTTGGAGCAGGGGGAATCAGTAGCAGAGCGGTAGCCCGAGGACGAAAAGAACCCTACCAGGAAAGCAAATGTAAAACACCAGTCAGCCTCTATCGACCTCCGCTACGGATAATGAAATCCTCAAGAATCTGAAAGGCAAACTTCAACCAGCTTAACTGAAAGATGAGAGCCAGAGTCCAGCGGCACCTTAAAGAATCACAACATTTGTGGCAGGGGATGAGCTTTCCTGAGTCACGGCTCACTTGAGCCGTGACTCAGGAAAGCTCATCCCCTGCCACAAATGTTGTGAGTCTTTAAGGTGCCGCTGGACTCTCGCTCTTTTCTCCTGCTACAGGCAGACCAACACGGCCGCCCATCTTGAAAGACGAGAGGAATCCTGTGACAGCTGAAAGACTAATCGTTTCATAGCAGCCAGATTCGAGTCCAGTGGCACCTTAAGAGACCAGCAAGATTTTAAAGGTATGAACTTCTGGGAGTCGAAGCTCCCTTCGTCAGAGCTTTGAGTCTTCGTTCATATCCTGAAAGCTTGCTGGTGTCTAAAGCTTTTAGCTCATTAAGCCTTATACTTTTTTGACTGCCAACAGTAACTGTTTAGGAATTCCACTGTTATCTTGAGGCTGTTGGCAGCCACTGACATTCTATTGTATTCTTATTGTTGTAAACATTTGGGGAAATTTTGTATACTTCATAGTAACTATCTAGTATAAAGCAATTGTATTCAGCATACTACTCATGTTTTAGAGTGTATTATTGGTTCTATATTGGCCCCAGTTTTGTCTTGTTTTCTTGGCGGTGTCTAAAGCGCTGCTGGACTCAAATCTCGCTGTTCTACCGCAGACCAACACAGCTACCCTCTGGGACTAAATTTATCGCAGCATAAGCGACCACAGTGGGTTAGGAAAGCTTACACCACAATAAACTCTGACCTCTTTTAACCAACAGGTGCCAGCCCATTTAACATCAAGCGCCAGTGTGGTTGGGAACAGGGGAGGCAGAACAGGGAGGCATGAGAGAGGCCATATTGGTTGGATCAGGCCAGTGGCCCATCCAGCCCAGCACTCTGTGCCATACAGAGGCCAACGCCCAGAAGCCATCAGGAGCTTCACCAATGGGGCCAGAACTCCAGGAGCCCTCCCACTGTTGCCCCCCAAGCACCAAAATACATAGTGTGCCATCTAGACCTTGTGGCTTTTAGCCACTGATGGACCTCTGCTCCATCAGCAGTTCTAGTGCCTGGCTTGGATGACCTGGCGAGAGTCACTCTCTTTCTGCATGCCTTACTGAGTCAAACAACAATGGGAGGCATGGCAAGGGGGAAAAAAGATCTAATAAATGAATAAAAATAAAATAATAATTTCATAGCAACAGTGCAGGGGGTCTTTTGCAAAATGTTTTGCCACGCGGGCTCTGAAACCGGTACCTCCCCTTACCTTTCACCTCCTGCATCTGCAGGACCATGATGAGAGCAGAGAACACTCTGGCTTTGGTTCTCTCCATCAGCTGCTGGTCGGCCTGCAGGACTCCATCCAGGATCTGCGTCAAGGAGTTTATGATTTCATCCACAGAGTCCAACTCTCTGATTGACACGGGGGGGGGGGGGGGGAGAGAAGAAAGAGAGAACAGTAAGGAAGAGAAACTCCACTCTGTTCAATGACATACATCTCGGCTGCTCCAAGATGGCGACAACCTTGTGCTTGTGCCGTGCTTGGTGAGTCTGCGGTTCAGGTCGGCAGCAGAGCCTGGCACTGGCCCAAGCACAGAAGATCCGGCACCTGCCCTCAGACACAAACGCTTGCACCGCAGTACGTAACGATGTCGTCGATCATCGCTCTACATGGCGCTTTGTGAAGCAATCGGGCTGGATAGTAAACTTGCCAAGACCACCATCATGGCACCAGACAAAAGGGCTCTCCCATTCTCTGCACTGTTGGGACAGGCTAGGGACACGTGGCAAGAGCTGCCCTCACAGGGATAAGGCGGATGGGGGGTGGGGGATGCTGGCTTCACCAACCGAACTACTAGAGGAGGGAGAACATGCCAGCCAGACGGGCAGCACGAAACAAAGTCCTCAGGGCTGGAGCTCTGTGACCACCCTGTTACTTCCAAGCAAGGAGAACTGGAATGGATGCGGGGGGGGGGGGGGGGGGTTGAAAGCATGGGGGAGATGATGACACGACAGAATACAACCCATCAACAGCCCTAAGAATAACTGCAGCCCTAAGACAATTCCTCCCTATTTCTAAAACAACGGATTTACATTTTCACGTGGGCAGATATGAATAGTAACTTGCCGAAATACACTCCAATCTTAAAATGGCGGGCGGTGGGGGTGGGGGGGCGAGAGAAGCAACATTCAGTTGCCAACTCTTGCCACCCTGCAAAGGCCCCCCCCCCCATGCTTCTCAATGGACGGCAAGGATTAGCATTGGCAAGAGCAGCGCAGTTCACCGAGAGAGGTGGGAACAGGACTACCACAGTGACTCTGAAATGGCCAGCCACCCGCAGTGCTTGGCTTCTCATGCTGTGACTGCAGCCCCAACCCCCCTTGCGCCTCTCTCCTCTTCCACAGTCTCTCCCTCCCGTACGTAGACCTCCAGCACACCTTCGGTGAGAGACCCACCTTTTCCACTGCCTCAGCAGGATGAGTAGCAGGGTGCACAGCATGGATCCCAGCTGGAGGCAGCACACCGAGGTTGGGACCAGCAACTGCAGAGAGACATTCCATTCGTGAACAGTCCCTGCATCGCTAAGTGAGAGCTAGGAAGAACACGGTTTGCTAGAACTCCGGCGCACTGAGCCGTACTCTGAAGAACAACTGTCAACCACTTTAAGAACCTCTTCTCTAGAGCCTCCCAGAACAGACGGTTCCGAGTCCTTGCCTGTACATTTTAAATTTGGAAACATCCTGCTCCACATCTGTAAGATGAGCAGCCGGGCAAACTATGATCCAGGGGCAACGGACCCTGTTGCCAGACCTTCTCAATTTAGGCAAACAAGGAAACTTTTATCCATTTTGTAGGAGACCTAGCACATCCTGGTGGCAGCTATCAGACAGCTGCCTGCCTCTCTGAAGTTCCTGGAAGACCACAAGGCCCAAGAGCAGACACTCACCAAGGCCTTGGTTCCACTCAGCACCTCCAGAAACAGCTGCTGGATGTCGGAGTCATTCAAGTGCATTATGTCAGCCTGGGGAGACCAAAAGAAAGAGTCTTTTGTAGGCAGTCATCAAATCCAGAAATAGTTCAGAGCCAAGCTTGTGGGTGTGTCTAACAAGATCACTGGAGAATCTGGTCTTCCAGCGCAGGATCTACTGAGCATTTTCCTCCCCCAGACCCCGAGCTTTCATTTTAAAAAATCTTCCTCAAGTCCTTGTGGTTGACAGTTTTTATTAAAGAACCAGAATCAAACTAGGCAGATTTACCAGGAACTATAAGGTCCCTTCTTTCCTTTCCTGAGGACTATCTTCACCCACCTCCCAGTCTTTTAATTCTGCCGTCTTCCATACCACTCTTCCTTCTTATGGCTGGATCTGAGTGTTGCGGTTCACAAGTTCACTGAAGATCAAGTCACTTGTATTACATGTTCACAGAACAGATTTCCCTGTGCACTCAAATATGGGAACGACCACCGGATTGAGCCATGCTGTCAGGTAGCCCTGTCATAGATCTCGAACGTGGAGGGGTGCACCGCTTTCTCGTTCCCAGCTCATCCCTGTCCAGCTTCTGTGCGCTATCTCTAGTTTGACCTTGTTATTGTTTCCAGCTGCAATTAACTCGGCTGGGAAAGCTAACGGTTTCTGCGCTTTGGCTGCTCGCTTGCTTGCTTCAGCCCTCGCGCGCAAAATATAGCCATTGGCGTCAGCTTATGGGGGGGGGGGGAGTTTGATTATACTATAAGTCAGAGGCCATCATACTACAGGCCATTCCTGACACAAGCTGTATACGAGTTCTTTAGTACTGGACTACCAATAAACACTTATCTTCTAAAGAAGCCTTGTGTGGCGTGCCCTGACTAAGGCGCCTGACACATGCCTGCTAAAATACAGCTTCACCCCCAGCTGCATTGTGTAAGCCACAAAGGGCTTCTTGACTTTTTTTTAGGACAGACCATGAGAGACGCAAGAGTCCTTACGTGACTGGTGGAAATTATCAGCATCATCCGCCATGCCGAGATCAGCATCTGGTACTCCGCCATGGAGGCACAGCTGTTGCCCTCGGTCTCCGCCATGTGGAATGCCAGGGCCTTCACGTAGCCTGACCAGTAAGCAAAGCGCTTCTCTGTGGAAAACTTCTTCAGCGTGTCCTTCAGCGACTGGTCCAGAGAACCCCTGGAAGGAGGGGAGACGCATCTCTTTCTCACTGCCCTTCTCTCTCCAGAGGCAGCCAGGCCATGCTTGCTAAAGCCACACACAACTGGATGAGGAGTCCCCGTTGTTTGAGCTCTAAGCCATGCTGCATTTCTCTTGGCCTCTCTCTGCTATTCTGTGGAGCAAGGAGCCTGCGAGACAGCTTGCAGCACTTCTCAGGGTGGTCACCCTGGCTGCGGGGGGAAGCATTTCCCAAGCAGACCCTCCTATTTAAAACTCCATTTATTTAAACATCCTCAGCAACTGAATTGAGCTGTCAGCATATCCTGATGTCTCTTGCTCAGCCTTAGAAACTTTTTTCCATTAAGCCTGTCATGATCCTGGGCCTATAGTGGTGCGGCCTACAGGCTGTAGGGAGGCCTAGTGGCTCCAGGAAAGCCTGTACTGGAGTAGCTATCAGGGCTTACATTTCTCAGGTACCCTCTGGGCTCTGTGATTGGCTAACAGGGGATTTGGAGGGAAAACGTATACCACTAGAGGAGTAGAGGGTAGTGCTACTTCAAGAATTTATCAGCATGCACAACACAGTGTCTGTCTTTCTCCCTTCTTGCTCTAGGGTAGTGTAGTGGCAGACAGAACAGGCTGTCATCAGGAAGACTCCAGTTCAATCTCACCTCTGTCATAAATCCATGCAGGAAACCACTCTCTCAGCAATCTCTCCATAATACTGGCCTATCTTACAGGGCTGTTGTAACAATTACAAGATAATGTGTGTGAAACACTTCAGCCATCGTAGACCAATGCACTGCTCTACCTCTAGTCTGAAGGAAAGCACTCCAAATGATATTTACTTGACCACATAGTAGATCTCCAGGCAAATTATTTTCATGATCAAGGCACAGGTATCCAAGACACTGAGCTAGAGAGAGAGAGAGAGACAAAAATGATCAACTGAGTTGCTTTTGGGGTCAGATCATACCTGGCATCTCCAATCTCTGTCATGCGCAAATTAAACTGAGGAACAAAACCAAAAGTGTTCAGAAAAGTTTATGCCCTCTTATCGAGCACACATCAGGAATGCATGAATGGGGTCACAGGAATCTGCACATCGCAGGTCACACCACAAAGTGCTTGGAAAAGCTACCCTGAACTTCCAAATGTACCGCGGGGGGGGGGGGGGGGAAGATACAACTTTAAATACCTGCAATAAATCCTAAATAACGAGAAAGAAAGATGATGCAATCTTTAACACAGGACTGGCAACCTCAGTGCCCCAAATGGAGAGAGTATCTTTAAACGACAAATGGTGAATCCTTTCTTCTCAGCAGTAAGAAACACACAAACACACAGCTTTGCTTTCTAGGGGCACTCCTTACCTCAGATGTTTCAGAGGGGGGAGGCAGGGTTCCAAAGAGCGGGTTGGTTAGGTTCTCCCAAAACTTTGGCCTGCAAGGGCAACACACAAACATGAAACTGTGGTTGCTGTCTTCTCTCTGGAGACCTGGATCTTGGGGCAAAGGCAGTGGGTATCCGGGCGGTTCTGCTCATGTTCTGCCCCGGGACTGTGGAGGAGGAAGCCCGGAGATCCTCGCCCGCACCTTCCCAATCAAACTGACAGTCTGGGGGGAAACCTGCTCACTGGTCCAAGTCAGGCTGGGAACTGTGAGGAGCAGGCCCCCTCCTTTGGAGTACAGAAGATTCATTTCCTAACCGTTTAACCTGGCCTCCGAAGTCTGAGCCATCCTCTCCGGGGGGGGGGTCTTCCTCCTCCCAAGGAGAAAAGTCATAAAAACACCAGTTCGACTGTGAGAGTTCACACCTATACCCACCTTGTTCTCAGAGTCTGTGCCAGTCCAGCAGACCACCACATGCCTCGTTTAAAGAAACAGGGAATGGCTCCAAAGACTGATACACAAAACAGCAGCAATACTTCCACCATCGGTCTATATCAGTCTTTGGAACTATTCCCTGTTTCATCCATACATACTCACTTTTCCATACGTACTTACTTGCCTAAAGGATGCAAGCAACTTAGAAGAGATCTTCTTCTCCAAATCAGAAGAAGGAAAGTCTGTTTTCGGTGTAATTTTCTTTATAGTGTTTATCGTTAAAAGAAACAGCATTGTTTGAAGAAACAACATTAAATGCTGCCACATGATATGTGATAAAAGTTATTGTATTGTATAATTCAGGTTAGAAAGTATTTAATGGTCTGTTTTCGGTGTAATTTTGTTTATAGTGTTTATCGTTTAAACCAGCAGCAGGCACAGGGGTACAGCTTCAGAAGACCAGAAGCTGAAAAGTACTCCCCCCCCCCCCCCACATACACACACACCCCACCAAGGGCAACAACAGACCGGAAAAGCAGCCACTCACTTGGTCCGCAGGACTAACATGGCGCTATCGCGACGGTCCTGCCACAGGGCATGGAGGAAGGCAATCGCTGCTCGGTGCAGAAGTGGGGGGCACCAGTACCGCTCCTGCTGCTTGGAGTCTATCAGCTCCAAGACCACATGAAGGCAGCTCCACTCCCCTAAGCTGAATTCCTAAAGCAGAAGGGAGTGGAAATTGAAGCAACAAACTTCAGGATGAAAAATGTGAGGCAACGGCAGGGATTCAGGGTTACAGCCAAGAAGTGATGTGCCCCTAAAGCAACGTCCTTCTGATCAAACATAGGCAGGTATGCAGAGTCAACCTTCCATGTGCCAGGTTTTGTCCTGCTAAAGGAGGAAGGGGCCGGCTTGAGGGGCTTCCAGTCCCAGTTCTTACAAAATCAAGGCTTGCAAAAGTTTTGCACCCTTCGTAAGTATGCCCAGAGTCCGCCTGTTCCAACGGACAGCCACCAGTAAACAAAAGAGGAAAAACTTGGTTCGTGGTGTGGTTTTTGTATGTTCTATACACTTGTCTGTGTGCGGTGTGTTTTTTTATGCACATTTCAAGGAAATTATAAAACAAGAAGAAGAAAAATTAACACATCTCAACCCAAATGGCAGCATGAAGCACTTCCAGAGGAATGTACTCCTGTTAGAAAACCAGGTGATGGCATTGGCCAGGAACACCTTTCACCAGCTTTAGCCTTCTGTGGCATGTGCCCTGGTAACATCTAGATCAGACTATTGCAATGCACTCTACGTGGCGTTCCCCTTGAAGAGTGTTCACAAGCTACAAGTGGTTCGGAATGGTGCAGCCAAAACACTGCAGGGCCAGCTTCTGAGATCTGGGCCAGCTTTGAGGTCTGATGAGATCAGGCTAGCCTGGGCTATCCAGGTCAGGACAAACACCACGTGCCAAGTGGTTCAGGTTCAGTTTTTATTGCCTTTAGCCATAGGCCATTACAATGACAGAATAAGATATAAACTATTAAAGCCAGAAAAATAAAAAGCCAATTTAATACACAATAAGACATCTTAACAGTTCCAACTCTTCCATCCTGGTCTCCGTTAGTAATCGAGCTATGGTGCTGCTACTATTTTCTCCCGAATTTTCTCTGCAGCCAGGGCCTCTACGTCTGCTAGTAGAACTGGAATCTTTTCTGTTTCTGTTCTGGTGCCTAGGGTGGCCAAAATTGGGCCTAGAAATTTCTTCCTAGGAGACTGATAGAGTGGGCAAAATAACAGGTAGTGGCACAGGTCCTCTGGCACTGAGCCTCCACATGGGCAGAAACGCTGGGCAGCAGGCGTGTTGGCATGCCAGTAAAATATTGACAATACTCTGGATCTGACTACTTAATAAACCAGGATGGAACAGTGTTTCAAACACCTTTTGTGGATTTGCTGCCTAGGTTTTCCAATGAGTTAAAAAAAAAACACGGCTGCCATCTATTTATGAAAGTGGTTGTGTTAAGTGGCTTATCAATAATTTAGATCCAGCAGCAGATTTTTTTCCCAAAATCAAAACATCCCAGAATTTTTTAATCTTTTCCCAAATTCATAGTTTAATCTGTTTTGTGTTCTTTATACTACATTGTTACATCCATTGTCATTATTAATACCGTGTTTCCCCGAAAATAAGACAGTGTCTTATATTAATTTTTGCTCCCAAAGATGCACTAGGTCTTATTTTCAGGGGATGTCTTATTAAGAAGAATACGGTACACTCCGTCAGGGCAGAGCGAGCAGCAGGCGGCAGCTTGTCCTGGCGGTGGCGCAGGCTCTTTGATTAAAAGAGACCTCGCACTTCCTGTCTGCTCCGGGGGGCCTTATTTTCGGGGAGGTCTTATTTTGGGGGGATGTCTTACTTTCGGGGAAACACGGTACTACCAATATATAAATGGTTTTTAATGAAACAGGATGTACCCATATGGGAGTTTACCTTTGACCCATCACTTCCATCTTTCACCTCCAAGTTGAGGAACAGTTCAATGAGCCCTGGCTGCGTTTCTACAGCAACTGTCAGGAACTCCAGGATCATGACTTTAATGCGCATGTCCTCAATTTTGCTCTGGAGACGTGTCAGAAAGGCATCCCGAATGGCAGCAGCATCATTGCCAAGGCAGGCGTAGACAGACATCGGAGCAACCTGGAAACAAGGAAAGACAGCCTATAGCCACCATTTATGATCATGCCTCTCTTTTAATGAAATGATTACTTTTAAACCCTAAATCACGGAACATGCTTAACACCAATACCAACACTTGTTTGGCACCCTGGCCAACGGCTATCCCAAGAAAATGATACACAAGATGCAGGTTTGCTTACAAGGAGATTTTAACAAATCAGCAAACTTACAGAAATAGCAGGCTAAGCTTCCATTCACTGGGCCTTGAACACAAACACACGGTGAGGCTAGCCAGAATCCAAGACAAGATACATAGCTAAAGCTAAGCCTCTTATATCCTAATTGCTGGCTACAAGTAAAGAATATTGTCATCAAAGCAACATCCCTAAACGCTGAGAGGAGCCAGGCCGTATCTTGCACCTGGCACCTAGTAGCTGAGAAGAATTTGGGAACGTACTAATGAAAACAGAGAGAATATTATCTTGGGAGCAGCCTGCCAGCCATCCTCCCTAACAAAACTAGAGGTCAGGCACTAGCAAAAAACCAAGATGGAGTTACAGAGGCTATACAACACTTGATAGCATATTTGATTTGAGAAATAGCCACCCTATTTTTAAAAAAGTTGTACACAGTATTAAGTTTCTTTACGTAAAAAATCTTTATACACAGGGCCCAGCAGGAACTCATTAGCATAATAGGCCACACCCAACTATAGAAACTCATTAGCATATTAGGCCACACCCCATGCCTTCCCTTGGCTTGCCTGGGCCCCCCGCAGTAGGGGGGGGGGGCGGCAAAGCCAGCCCTTGGAGGGGAGGGGAGGCAGTTTAAACTGCCTTCCCTTGGCTTGCCCGGGGCTGCGGGGAGCCTGGGCAAGCCGGCCCTTGGACAGGCTGGGGAAGGCACAGGGAGGCATTTAAATGCCTCGCCGATCCTTCCAGGGGGGCCCCCTCGCCCACCCACCTCGGCGTCACCAGGGGGAGGGCGCTCTCCAGGCCTTCCCTCTGTAGCCGCGCACGCAGAGGTTTTCGGTGTAGTGGGCGTGGCCAAGTCTGAAGCCAGCCAGACCTCTGTTCCTGTGTGTTCCTGCCCAAAAATAGCCCCGTTTATACATAGTAATAAAGAAAGATAGAGGGCAAAGATGCATCAAACAGAAGTCAGCTGGCTGTCCTCTGGTCCTACAGAGCCCACCGATGACCCTCCGCGAGAAAAGGTTTGGGGACTTCCTGTCTCAAACACCTTCACCTTTTGCTTGTGGTCAGGATTGTTCTAAGCATCCAGGATGACAGACGCTGATGACTGGGTTTTGGCTGGCAAACTGAGCTTCTTTCCTTTGAGTACTTTCATAACATACAAATAGAAGAAGTCACAGTATAGAATAGTCTGGACCACGCCATCCACCACGGCTATGAGATTGGAGAATCCCTCAAAGTGGTAGCACCAAATCCTTAGCGGTTAACTGGTATGTCTCCTTTCCTAGCTGGCAGTCACTGAAAAAAAGGCCCACCCGCTGGAGCCACCCACCTCACCTCTGAATGGGCTGGATATAGACTAAGTTGTCCACTAACAGTGGAGTAATTTCTATCAGTTCCCTCTTCCTGTTGCAGACCCGCAGTCTCAAGCTGTTCCGGAGGGTCCTGTCTCCCAGGAGCAGCATTTGGGGGATATCGGGTGTGTGTGTGTGTGTGTGTCCTGCTTCACTGTTAGAAGCGCCTTTATGTGAGTGGAAAAGTTAATCTGGATGCAACCCAAGGTGAGGGACACAAAGAAAAGACTGAGACGAAGAAGACTGCAGCTTCTGGGTGGGGTTATATGGAGCAGACAGTCACTTAACAAGAGCTTTTTAATGACAGTACTGAGTACTGGGCACCTTTCTGAAAGGCTCTCCCAAGTCTTGAGGCGGGAATTGGTGCAACCTACGAAGGACTCCGTATGCCCCTGTGGTCATCAGGCAGCCATCTCTAGGCGATCCCACCACTGAGGGTGGCCCATCAGGCATCAACCGGGTCTTTTCCATCATGGCTCTGGCTCTATGTGGAACGGGTTCCCTGAAGAGGAGAGCAGGCCCCCTCCCTGGAGATCTTCAGGAGGCGCTGCAAGGCCTGCTTGTTTGCCAGAACCTTCAAGGGGGTCCAAATGGCAGGCACCTTTTATTGGGGGTGGGGATTGGGGATTTGCAATGATTTTTGGTTTTGACTAAAAATGTTCTTAACTGTTATTGCAAGCTGCCTTGAGCCACAAGGAAAAGTGCGACAGAAATGCTTTATTAAAAACAACTTACATATGAGAGATGCGCCCCCCCCTTTAAACAAGAAAGTACCACTTTCAAATACCAAGGTCCGACCTAGACCAAAGTCAGCACCTTCAGAATAGACGAACAGGCTGCCAACCTAACTAGGTCAATGAGAGCTGGATGATATTCTAGGGAGAACCTCTGGAAGAGAAAATTGAGCCCCTGCTACCTCCAGCGGAGGCCAGAGAGCTCATGGGATCTTCCCCTCATGTGATCAGGAAATGAGACAAAACACAAAAGTTCTGAGGGTACAAAATCCAGCCTTACCGTAGCCAGTCGCTTCAGGAGCTGGATGGCGAGGCGTGGCAAGGCAGGGTCGTGCTTGTGGTAGATGTACTTGGCCAAGACGGCGATCAGATTGTTCCTGTGGGCACCTGGCCAAGTGCCAAGGTTGAACACACAAAGAAAAGAAAGCTGATGCGTCTCAGAGAGAGAGAGAGAGAGAGAGATGTAAAAAATTACTTCCCCTGGCAGAAAAGCTATGCTAGCCAATTACACGTGGGTGGCTTGTGTTTAAGAATCAAGCCCGGGGCTAGGGGCTGGATAGCAGAAGGACACATACCATGCTGGGTCAGGGCATGCTCTAGAGGAGACACCACGTTGGAGGGCGGTTTCAACCGGATGACATTGTTGGTGACCGAGAAGGCCAGCTTCACTGTCTGGATCAGCAGCTGCCCCTGCCCCTGCGACTCATCACTGTGGGGTCGGCAAAAAACAGCACCAGAAACGGTCATTTGTGAGGTACCTTTGTCAAGACATGCTAGGAGATGCAACCAGCCAAAAAACTGGCTCCCCAGCTCAGATCGCTATATAAAATTCTACCCACCTCACTTTTCGCTGCTCTTGTTCCCTGTTAGGGTTGCCAGGTCACAGTGCTTCAGTGACAGCGGCATGGGTGCATGCCCATCTGGCCTAGCCGCCCTGTGCCCACCTTGACTTCCTGGCCAGGAACCCATAACCCAAACCTCTTTCACCTGCCCAATCAACCCCTTCAATAGCACATGACCACCACCTCCCCCCCGTGTACTTTTGCCTGGCACTTCCTCCTCCTAGTCCTCTTCAAATCCCTGAGCATGGCACGAATGCTAGACAGCGTCCACTTCCAACTGAATGGGACCACAAAATAATGCAGGGGTGGCAAAAAGCCTGTGATTTGATTACCAGCAGCTCTCATCAAACTGATTCCTGAGCCTTTATAAAACTCCCAAATGTTTCCCAGCACTAGGCTACAGCCACGAAAACAAAGTCCTTTTAAAAAAGGAAAAGGAAACTGGGATGATTTGCAATGGCAGATCATGCGGATCTTTGTGGATGGGACAGAGTTAGAGATGTAAAATTTCTGGAAATTTTGAAACTCGGAAAAAAACCCGGGGTTTTTTCCGGTTTTTCCGGAAAAAAACGGAAATTTTCGGGAAAATTGAAAAAAATGCTACATTAGCATTTCTTTTGTCTTTTCTAGATTGAAAGTCATCTTTTTTAGGAACTTGAGGAACATAAAATATGACTATGGACATTTTTACTTGGCATGAAATTATCACAACTAGCATATTAAAAATATAGTGTATCCAAACAATTATTACAAACAGAATACCCACCCACATGCAAAAACAAAACTGAAACCTTTTTTATTTTCTTCTGACAATCGCACCTCCTAAAGGAAGAAATGCATCTTGTTCTTGCATTGGAGAGTTCAGTTTGTAACCTAGGACTTGCTTGTCCTCAGTGCACAGAAATTAGATCAATCTGATACCATATGTATTTTTTAGAAATGATTTGGAAAATATTTGAACACCTTGTCTTAAAACATTGTATTCATCATGTTAAAATAAAACGTTCCATAATCAATTTTTTTTTCTTTTCTTTTTTCAATTTTTCCAATTTTTCCAAAAAAACCAAAAAGGCTTCAGGAAAAAACGGGGGGGAAACGTTTTTTTCCCGAATTTTTCCGGTTTTTTTCCGGGCCTTCACATCTCTAGACAGAGTGTTGGACTGGATGGGCCATTGGCCTGATCCAACATCAGCTTCTCTTATGTTCTTATGCTGTATGTGGCTTTTGGTCCATTCATGAGCACAAAGAAGACATAAAGACCACTGCTATGAGCAAAACAGAGAAGTCTGCAAGAATGCCAAACAAGTTCGGCACTAAGGAAAAGTCCTCCTGTGGGTTCACCTTCATCATGCTAACACTGTAGTCTGAGTCCCACCATCTTATGCCATCCCTCAGCAAGATGCCAGTCACGGTTAAATCTCCCCCCCCCCCTCTAAGCAACAGGCAACTCACCTACTGGACTGAGTGGCCATCACCATATCAATGGTGTCCACACCAATCCCCATGATGTTGATGACTGCCTGTCCTGCTTCCGTGTTGGCGAGGCTGAAGATGCAAAGGGACGGTAGGCTGGGGGCACTGCTGCAAGTCAAGAACACAGATGTTAGCTTGGAGCAGGGACAGAGAGCCTCCGTGGCCAGCTCCAAGCCACTGTGGGGACGGGGACGGCAGGATCACTAAGGCGTTACTGCTGGGGCGGGCTTCCTCATGGCTTTAAGCACCCTGCAACCGCTGCTGCGCCTGACAGACAACCGCCTGTTAGGTGTAGGAGGGGGGAGCATGTTTGAAGCCATAGGGAGGCTGGGCCAGCAGCTTTGCTTCACCTCACAGGCAGTTGGCCCCTCCTGAAGACAATGAGCAAAAAGGGGGCCAATTTCCACATAGCCATGAGGACCAGAAGCTCAGCTCCCCTTCGGGAACCAAGTACGCATGAAGCTTTGTGCTTCTTTGGATAATGTGAGCCAGCGAGAGTCTACAAACTTACTGTACCTGCTATGAGGATCCATTTCAGGGCACAGGTTCAGGATAGCATGGATCAACTGCAGAATAAGGCATCCTGAAAAACAGGGGAAGAGGCATCAGGAATCACGGGACTCAAAAACCAGGGGGAGGGCAGTTTAATCCTCCAGGACATTCCACTGCTGACCTATGAGTGGCAGTCCTCAAACGGAGACGCCTCAAGGGGAGGTTTACAACCTGAGACTGCCGAACTTGAATTCATTCACCAATTCACAACAATAGACTCCCCAGGGCTGAACAGGAACCCAACATTCTTATCTCACTACAGATGTTGATCTTCTGCCCCAAAGCATTTCTCCCCTGCTCTAATTAAGCTGATTACATCCCCCGAGTACCTCTGCATCCCAACTCCTTCCTCTGCAGCACCCCTCCTGACTGCGATATTAATTCCTGCTTATAATTCCATTCCTACTTATATCTGACAAAGGGAGGTTTGACTCGCAAAAGCTTATACCTCAAAAACCTTGTTGGCCTCTTAAGGTGCTACTGGACTTGAATCCAGCTCTTCTACTATAGACCAACAGGGCTCCCCTCCAAAACTCTTACCTGGCAAGTTGTTCTTTTAGAGGAAATTCCAGGCAGGACTGTGTCCCCCCTCCCTTAGACCCCCCCCCAAGCCTCTTCAGCTCCACGAGGACCTTTATGCAAAGCACAATCTGCCACCTGTCTTGATCACCAGAAGAGCCATGGGGAGGGCGAACTGGTCCTACCAGAACAACAGGTCTGGGCTTTAGCCCAACCCTAAATCGCTCTGAATGGTGGGCCATAGCTTGACTTAATGAGGTGCCAGTCCCAGGCATGCTGCCACCCAAATACTTAAGAGGGGAAGTATAAACCAGAGAAAGATGGCGAGAGTTTGTGACAGCGAAGTCTCAGGCCCCTTGGAGAAGCCCTGCTTACCAATTCGTTCTCTCACTCCATGGGAGTCCAGAAGAGCCATGGGGAGGGCGAACTGGTCCTACCAGAACAACAGGTCTGGCTTTAGCCCAACCCTAAATAGCTCTGAATGGTGGGCCATAGCTTGACTTAATGAGGTGCCAGTGCCAGGCATGCTGCCACCCAAGTACTTAAGAGGGAAAGTATAAACCAGAGAAAGATGTTGAGAGTTTGTGACAGCAAAGTCTCAGGCCCCTTGGAGAAGCCCTGCTTACCAATTCGTTCTCTCACTCCATGGGAGTTATAGCGCCATTTGTGGTAGTTTGGCAACATCTCCTTCAAGACAAACACGATGCAAGGCACTAGCCCCTGGCTTTGGGTACTACCAAGCTGCCCCTAGAGAAAGCAACCAGACCAAATAATATTTTGCAACAGGAAACCCCGACACACTGAACAACAACAGAAACCCTGATGTGGCAAGGATCAGGGAGCAAAATGCCTGCAGCACTACTCTGCACCTGAAAATCCCCTCCCTCCCTCCACTTCAGCCTTATGGCATTCCCTCTCCCCAAAAGCACTTACCCGGACAAGCGTCATGACTAAATTCAGGAAGGAGACAGTCACGCCATATTCACCTTGAGGCTGCTCAATGCTCATTAGCAAGTTACCGTAGCCTCCCGCATTCATACCCTCTGCACTGTGGAAAGCAGAAATCGGTAGTGACATGAGACCAATAACACACAGTGTGAAAAGCAGGTAATCTTGAGCAAAGGCCCACGCTCTGTATCCGTAACACTTCAGTAATATGAACTGTAAAACACACCAAAAATGCAAAAACAACTAGCCGTACAGATTTTCATGAGGTTGGCGTTTCATAGTGATGGATCAATTTCCTCTCAATTTTTCTGCATGGAAAAGGCACCCACAGGCCAATCAACCAGGATCAATCTGGACAAGATACCTGCTATCAGACACAGACACAGTCCTGTTTATGTTCATCAGAGCAATCAAAGTGTAAGGCTATTATGAATGAGACAGCAAACTGAAACTGAGGAGGAAGGGGGAAAGAGGGTCTTCTTTTGCCAGAAGGGACAAAGGCTTGATTTGTACAGCTCCACCTGGGAAGCATTTAACTCATTCATGATACCTCCCCCCCCCCAAACAAATAAAGCAGCAGCAGGCCATTAAAATCTGCCTGTTCCAGATTTTCATTTTGATTCTTGATCTTGATTGTTGTGCGTGCAAGGGGATAATGGGGGAGGGCACAGCAAGGCAAACGCATGAGCAGGAACCGTGATTTGTCTTTGACAACTGAATAGGCACCAATGGGGTTTTCACGTTAACATGATTCCAACTGGGGTGTGCAAACTGCTTGAAAGCTCATAAAATGAACAAGGACAATGCAGTTCTATTTCAAGTCAAGACAGAGAAAACTACCCAAGTTCTACACACCGTGCCTCTTTGAAAGAGCACTCAAGTACATAAGGAGTACATAACATTCATTAGAACAACCACAGGAACAGCTCCACGAAACAGATCCGTTGTCAGGATTACAGAAACCATGAAGCATTTCGAACATTCTGAAGTTTTGTATCGAGGTTTAAGTTTTGTCAGCACCCCAGGTTTTGTCCAGCATCTCCAACTTCTATTTCAACAACGGACAAAGAAAGCGAAGCGCTACAGAAGAGTCAAAATTACCTGATCATGTGACTCAGACTAGAAACTGGATTAGCGACGAATGGTAAAAATCCCGTGTGGTGAAGGTCAGTCCAAACCTGAAACGGAAGACAAGCACTGCATTCTGATGTTTGCACAAAACAGGGCTGCAGCCCTTGAATCTGAAGCCTCAGCTGGAAGTACCAGATTCTGTGCAGCCGCCAGAGCCTACGGAGGCAGTGTCGATTTAGTGACACAGGCCTGTGGTTCTTCATATGTAACTTTGAATGGAAGAGCTGCGGTGGCTCAAGTGGTTAAGACGCTGAACTGCAGGCTGTGGAAGGTCAGTAGTTCAGCAGTTCAAGACCCGGGTGCCGCATGATGGTGAGCTCCCATCTCTAGTTCCAGCTCCTGCCAACCTAGCAGTTCGAAAGCAAGAAATTGCAAGTAGATAAATAGGGACCACTTTGGTGGGAAGGTAACAGCGTTCCGTGCGCCTCGGTGTTTAGTCATGCCGGCCACATGACCACGGAAATGTCTTCGGATAGCGCTGGCTCTTCGGCTTTGAAACGGAGATGAGCACCGCAACCCTAGAGTCGGATTCGACTGGCTTTCGAGCAAGGGAACCTTTACCTTTTTATAACCACTCTGTTCATGTATGTTTTATTCTGCTGGTCTATGGCTGTAATAAATGACTGATTGACAAAGGAAATCACTCTAGTAACAGTGAAATTAAGCAATATTCCCCCACCTTTGCAGGCATCCGGGAAGCCAGAACACTCAGACAGTTGACACAAGAAGCTATGACATCAACTGGGGGAGAAATCACAGTAGTTAACCTGGAAAAGAGAGTGGGAGAGAGAGAGAGAGAAGAATTGTACAAAATACCAAAATGTATTCCTATGGTTTGAGTACCGTTCTAGAACCTATTTTGTATTAATTTTTTGTTCTGCCCTTCCTCTGAGGAACTTTGCAAGGCAATACTAGCTTTTCCCTTACTCATTTAACACTCACAACACCCCTGTGAGGCAGATTATGCTAAGAAAAAAATTGACTGGTCCAAGATCACCTCAGTGAGCCCACAATTCCTAGACCTAGACAGATAGTCTAACTATTAATTCCTACTGTTCCTTCAGAATTTTACCCCTTGGTTTCCTAAAATACTTAAAGCAAGTGTGTTGTTGATAAATCTGACCTAATCTTCAACTGTCAAGGTTACTCCGCTGATTCACCTTTGTAGCAGCATGTAGATCCGCGATGTGATTGGCAAGAGGCAATCTGCAATCGACACATCTGTGCTGATGACCTTGTGAACCAGGTCGATGATGGGCTTCACCCTCTGGCAATGCTGGATTACATCTGAGAAAGGAAATGAGTTTATCATGAAAACATACAACTTAAGAAAAGGCTCAGGCAAGGAAGATGGATGGAAGGAAGGAAGGCCTCACCTCACCAATAACATACAGCAAAGAATGAGAGGAAAGAGAAAGAATTACAGGTGCCAGAGCTCATAGGCTGAGCATATGCTCTTGAGCGCTTGAGACCGGAGGCTGAACCTTTGGCATCTACAGTTCAAAAGAATCTGAGCAGTCATGAGATAAGAGGATGGGTTCGATTATGGATTACAGATTAAAAACTGGTTAAATGATACGAAGCAAAGAGTAGGAATCAATGGACAGTCCTCACAACGGAAGGAAGCAAGCAGTGGGGTCCAAAAAGGATCGGTATTGGGGCTGGTACTATTTAATTTATTCATAAACTAGTGGCAAGGTCCATTGCAAAGAGACAGACAACGAACACTTGGCAGAGGGCCGGGGGAAGTGCGGCGGCTTGCAGCATGTGCCTGGGCTGGCGGCAGTCAGCGCGCCATAGAAGCATGGGGGGTGGCGGGCGAAGACGGGGCGGCGGCGGTGAGCGTGCCACCGGCGGAGAGACCCCATGCCACCCTCTCCTCCCAGAGACCTCCAAGCAGCCTTAGAAGGCGAGAGTGGGCGAAGACAGGCCGGCGGGGATGGGCGAAGACGGGCACGCCACTGTCGGCAAGGCTCCACACCACCCTCCCCTCCTGGAGGCCTCCGAGCAGCCCTAGAAGCTGTGGGGGTTGGGCGGAGAGGCTCCACGGCACCCAGCCCTACCGGAGGGCTCCAAGAGGGCCTAGAAGGCAGTTGGGGGGGGCGAAGAAGGGGCGGTGGCAGAGAGGCTCCACGGCACCCGCCCCTCCCGGAGGCCTCCCAGCAGTCTCAGGACTGGGCCCGGAGGGAGCGACCGGGCTGTGCGGAGGCCAGGCGGGCCCGTCCTCCTGGCTCCCCGCCAGAGCGTCCATCCTGGCCGACAGCCGAGCAGAGTGAGGGCGAGACGCTGGGCGGCAGGTCTGTGGGTGGGACTGACGCCATGGTGGAAAGGAACGCAGCCAATCGAGGGACACTTTGTGATGGGCAGTTCCTGCAGCCAACTGATCTTGCCGTGCACAGAACGTTGCCAAACGACTACACATTTATATAATAGGACAGGATGGTCTGGAACTAGGGTGAAAGGTGTAGTGGCCAAGTTAGCAGGTGACACAAATTTATTCGGGATGGTGAAAACGAAGGCTGACTGTGAAAAGCTCCACGAAGACCTCAACAAACTGGGTGAGTGGGTGACAGTGTGGCAAATGAAGTTCAGTGTTGATAAGTGTAAGTTGATGCACATTTGGGGGGGGGGGAATCCCAGCTAAGTATAGGCCAGGGGTGGCCAAACTGTGGCTCAGGAGCCACATGCAGCTCTTTCACACATATTGTGTGGCTCCCGGCAGGGCAGCTGGGGAAGTGAAGGGGAGGCATGCCTCCCCCATCGGTCTTCCCTTCCCCAGCCAGTGTTCCCCTTCCTCGGTAGGCTTGAGGCAGGGGGGAGCAGAGAAAGAAAGCAGCTTTAGCTTGAAATGCATTCTCAAAGCCCCCCCTTACAAATATCATTGGACAAATAAATATCATTATCAATACCTATTTTTATCCCTTTTGCTTTTATTTTTGGCAGTCTCGTTTTTGCATATTATTCAATAAAAACATTTCTGTAATTTTTGTTCACGTCATGTGGCTCTCAAACATCTGACGTTTATTCTATGTGGCTCCTATGTTAAGCAAGTCTGGCTACCCATGGTATAGGCTAATGGGGTCTGAACGTGCTGAAACCAAAAGGGGAAAAGATCTCATGGTCGTAGTGGACAGCTCAATGGAAGTGTCAACCCAATGTGCTGCCGTGCTGAAAAAGGCAAAGTCTACGTCAGGGAAAGGGATCGAGAATAAAACAGCCAAAAATGTAATGCCCCTGTACAGATCTATGGTGTGACCACATTTGGAATACTGTGTACAGTTCTGGTCACCACATCTCCAAAAATGACACTGCAGAGCTGGAAAAAGTACAGACGTGGGCGACCCAGATGATGAGGGGCTTGGAGCACCTTCCCTATGAGGAAAGGCTGAAGAGTCTCTGGGACTTTTCAGTTTAGAAAAGAGACAACTAAGGGGGGACATGATAGAGGTTTCTAAAATTATTCATGGGGTAGAGAGAGTTGACAAAGATAAATTTTTCTCCCTCTCCCAAAATACTAGAACTCGAGGGCCTCCAATGAAGCTGATGGGCAGTAGGTTCAGGAGGGACAAAAGGATATACTACTTTACACAGAGTGTAATTAAAATCTGGAATTCACTGCCAGAGGATGTAGTGATGGTCACAGGAATAAACAGCTTTAAAGGGGGATTAGATAGATTCAGGGGGGATAAGTCTGTCAATGGCTACTAGCCATGGTGACTGAGGGGCGCTTCCATATTCAGAAGCACTAAACCTCTGAATCCCAGAGCCAGGAGGCAACATCAAGGGAAGGCCTCCGCCTCCATGTCCTGTTGTTGGCCTCCCAGCAGGTGGGACCACTGATCTTCTTAGGTTCTTGTTCTGTTCTTAACAGGCCTGAGAAAGACATCTGCGGCCTCCGCCTCCATGTCCTGTTGTTGGCCTCCCAGCAGGTGGGACCACTGATCTTCTTAGGTTCTTGTTCTGTTCTTAACAGGCCTGAGAAAGACATCTGCCAGTACCAGCAGAAAGTGCTGACAGTGACTTGATGCTTTGACTTGGTGGGTGCAAGGCATCTTTTTTATATATATTTATCTTTTAAAGAAAAAGGAAGGTAGGGAGGTAGGTAGGGGATAAGGGAGGGTATACAACAAAGAAGGGAAAAGAAAATAGTGCTTACAATTACTTCTACTAATTCCATTCCATTCCATTAACAATTCTACTTATACAGTCAGATACTTTTTGTGATGATTCTGATCACTTAAGTCCAAACGTTTCTTAATACCTGCAGCAGAAATTATTGCCTTTACAGATTATTGCCTTTACATCACCAAAACGTTCTATGATTTATTACCTTGGTACTTTTTTATAATGATGTTTCAATTATATTAGTTTCATATCTAAGGGTTCTCATAATCATAATTTTTGTGATCTCTTAATCTTTTGCTATAAACTAATCTTTACTCCTTTAATTATGGGTCCTTAGTTCAGCAGTTCAAAACCCGAGTGCTGCATGATGGAGTGAGCCCCAGCTCTGGCCCCAGCTCCTGCCAACCTAGCAGTTCGAAAGCAAGAAATTGCAAGTAGATAAATAGGTACCACTTTGGTGGGAAGGTAACAGTGTTCCGTGCGCCTCGGTGTCTAGTCAAGCTGGCCACATGACCACGAAAACGTCTTTGGACAGCGCTGAAAACGGAGATGAGCACTAAACCTAGAGTCGGATTCGACTGGCTTTCAAGCAAGGGAAACCATTACCTAATATCCTACTATTTATGAATAGCCATTCTATACCCCAAACATTCTAAAGATTATATATTAACCTTTGGCTAAAAAGGACACAAACATGCCTAATATTATATTCCACCTCATAGTCTTCATAAAGGTTTTCAAACAGATACTGATACAATCTTATCTCTTAATACTTTTATATTAATTTCATTTCAATGGATTCTCTTATTCATATTCAACCCAATCCTTACTCATATAGTTATAGCTTCTTAATGTCCTACTACTAATACATAGCCACTCTAAAACCAAACATTCTAAAAATTGTATATTAGCCTTAAAAAAATAACAATTCTAATATTAAAACTCGACTTTGCATTTCCTATAAAAATTGCCATAAAAGTACTGATAACATTTTTGATACTGCCATTCCATACACTTGTTACTGATGTTTGTTTTTAAATCACCTTTTAAAGTTTTAAGCTTTTCTAAAATTACACCAAGAAGTAGGACACTTATTTCTTTTTAACTTTAAATTTGTTTGCAAGTTCTCTTGAATTTTATATCCTTAGATCTCATTAAATCTTTAACATCCGTTTGAAATATCACTAGTCCTGCTACAGCCATTACGCCTTAAAATAGTTCTTCCCACCTCCCCCTCCTCCTTTCCACCATTTTATTGTCTGTAATTGAGGATTATTCCTGAATAATTTCAGTATGGGAGTAAAACTCTTTACCTTTTACTAAATACAGCTTCACATTTCTGGCAAAAACTCTCATATGGGTACTGATGATATTTATCTTTAGGATACATTCAGATATCATATGACACATACTTCTTCAGCCTTTAAATGTAATCATACTAGATCATTTTGCAAGATTTTTGTGCTTCTCTACAATTAAAAATAAAGCAATCTTGTGAAATTTCTTTCTTTCTCTTGTTTCATCTCCTTAATTCCATTTTAAGTATCATTTAACCTACTGTAGCAATTCCACCTTAAAAGATTCTCCCTCCCCCACTTTTACACTGCCACTGCAATACTGAATAATATCTGTCTTATAACATATATTTCTCTTAACATTTGATTTTAATTTCAGTTTCTGCTAGATTTAAATCTCATTAAGTTCCATTTTAAATGACACTTAGCCTGGTATAACCATTCCATTTTAAAGAGTTCTCTCCCCCCCCCCTTTTCTTTTCTTTTAAATTCGCATCGTCTTTTCTTTTGCGGCTGTCAGCTATTCCTGTAATCTTCCGTTATGGGGTTTAAGATCTCTCCCTGTTTGCTTGATGTATCCAAAGAAAGAGTATTGGGGATGTTTGGGATTCTTTTCAGATTCTCCCTTCTGGTGTGTTGTGATCTTCTTTCTTTAAGCCGGGATGCATTGGTGTTCTCCATTTTCACATTAGAAAGCTTATGCTCTGAGATTTTCTCCTCTTTGAGAGTTAACTCTTCGTTTGGATCTTTTGGTTCATTTAAAGGTTGTTCCAACAAACTTTCTTCTTGATGAAATTTGCAAGAGAGCTCCTGAATATGTTCTGTCAAAAGACACAGGCTATGTTGCACTGGGAGCAGAGTTGCATCAAAAATATTTTTAAGTGTTGCTGTTATCGCTTGAAGATTCATTGTCACCAATCAGCTGAGACAGATAGGTAGTTAGGCAAATAGGCAGACCATCCAAGTTTGTTTATATTAGATCCGAGAATCCATCCTTCAGTTTGCAACCGGGATTATAGTCCTTTTGATGTTGTTTCCTTTAGCTTGATAGCAGCTTCCAGTAGAGGGGGGAAGGGAAAGCTAAATAGGCATTCCCCCCCTCCCCTTTCTTTCTAAACTTTTTCGCCATCTGGTTGAATTCCACAGTTCTATTTCAAGAAGCATTTCATACACATGCTGAGAAAAAGGATCTTACTTGTTAGATGTCTTCTTGCATTTGTTGGAGAAAGTGGTTTATTGGAGAAGTAAGCTTAGTTTCAATTCTCTCAAAGTCCTCCAGACACAGCTTAAGAGCCAATATGGCAATTGCTCAGCTGGTGCTTCAGGAAAGACAAAGACTCCAGATCCAAGCCATTGCTAGTATCTGGTACTTCGTCGAGTACCCTGCTTCAGAGACCTCTCTTCTGAGGCCCTCCCTAGGAATTTGGGGAAACCAAATTCCCCCAAAGTGCCCAAACCATGCAATTCGAGTGGCTGCAGAAGCAGAGCTCCACAGCTCCACTTGATCTTGCTGCGCTTGCAAGGCAGCTTCATGTGGGGATGTTAACAGGAATACCTTTGCTCCTATTCAGTAGCACCCCCAACATTTCAAAGTTCCAACAAACTCACCTGCTGTTGACACAACATGCAGCAGCATCTCAATCTCGCAAGTAAATAATGTCCAACTGCTGTACGAATACTCCCATCGTACCAGGTAGGCTCGGTCATCCAGCATCACCTGGCCCACTGTTCCCTGAGGTATCCGGAGGTTGGTTTGGCCCAGACCTAAGAAGCAAAAGGAAAGTGACAAAACTAAGTCCAAACACATTCACAGGACTAGAATTTTAGGAATTAGGATAGACACCACAGAAAAGTTTTGTCATTAGCAGAATGGGGCCATAAGATCCATTTTTTAGAATTCCGTTACATTTCAAGCTGCATCATTATGCTGGAAACAGGATGCAAATATTTTAAATAAAATAGTTAAATATTCACATCCTGCTTCCAGTGTAAAATGTGAACTCTGAAGGTATACCTCATTCTGCCAGTAAGTAACACCCAAGGCGGTTTACAACATCACATGAAATAAAGAGGGGGGAAAGCACATAAAACATACAAAATAATGACAAAGTTTCAAGGGCCAGAAACTCCGCCCCGTGTCCTTACCAAGGGGATAAAGCAGCTTTGGTGTCTGCCTCCGCCACAGCGTACCGTCTTCATGAGAGATCACGTCCGCTGGCTTGTGCTTATACAGCTCAATATAGAAAGACATCTTATCCAAGAAGGTATACACCTGTAGGTGGAGAGAGACCAAGTTACCTGATGAGACAGAAAGTCAGCTGAAGACTCCATCACATGCTTGCTCGTGGAGCAGCTGAACTGACAGGCCCATCCCACCACCGTGGCCAGCAATATCTAACTGCCCGGTGTGAGAGAATCTCCAGGGGAGGAACAGCAAGCCAAGACAACCTAGCACACATCTCCCGAAGAGATTCCCACCCAAATCTTTTCAGATGAAAACAGCTTATAAGTTATCAGGATCTAATCAATGTTTGAGCAACCTTCCACACATGCTTCTCCACCTAATAAACTCTCCCTTCTCGACTCATGTCTGCGCCAAGTACCTTTTTTGCTGTGGATTTATCTGAAACGAGGGCTGTGAGTAACTGCAGAAGGGGAGAGAGCAGGTGGGGGAACATCCCGCATACGCTGTCCAAGATAATGCCCAGACCTGCAGTTGGCTCCTGAAGTTAGACACACAAAAGGAAGTTAACAGACACAGACTCACCACCATGTGCAAAATTAATACACACGTGCTTTGTAAATTTTAATGAATAACCAAGTTATTTTCATTGCGTAATGTTCTTAAACTTCCCACAGACTAACTTGAAGGTTTTTTTAAAGGAAAAGTGAGATGAAGACAAGGTTTAAAGAAATGACTGGCTGTAAATGTTTGTTCTCTTCAACGGATGGGAGATGGTTCAGGTGGGAGCATCTTCTCTTTTGGCTACTAAAGGTGCCGCCCTTTTGCAAGGAGGGAAAACCAGACTGGCCAGGAACAGCCCTCCCTCAATATGAACATTCTGGTTGACAGAGTTTTTGCAATCTCAGGAGATTCCTTCAGGAATAGCATCCCACTGCCAGCCAAAAAGGAAACTGTTTCCTGGCAGGGATGCTTGTGCCTCTTCACCAGAGGAGGGGGGGAACCCAAATGCTCCTTCCAGTCCCCGTGTAATGAAAGGCTTTACTCCCACATCCAATTAGAGAATTTGAACTGAACAGTTCTAAAAGTACTTTGCCTATTCAAATGGTTAGCAGCAGGTTTCTCCAGGATTTATCTATTAACAAGTCTTTAAATCTGATCATACAAACGAGTTAGGTGTGAGTTCTGCTCTTTGAACTATAACCAGCAAACCAGACTGAAAACCTTCAGAGACTTTATATTTCTTTGAAAAACAGTTCCCTTTACTATGCAAGCCATTGAGTACAGACACATGAAAACTAACCCTACAATTACTGTAAAAACAAGTGCTAAAATGATAAAAGTTCGTATTATAGTGAATAATATTTTTAAAAGCAAACCAAGTTTCAGGTTTTTGTTTCACTACTTTTAGGGATTATCAAAAAAGCTTACATCTCAGACACACCGAGAAACCTCACATAATCTTTCTGAGACTTCCATCCAGAGAAATCTGATTTGCTTATTATGATAGAGCATCTTTATAGAAAAATATCCATCTTATTCTAAATATCTTCTATCATAATCATGCAATTACTAGTTAGATAAGTGTCTGGTTCTTAACTAAATATGAGATAATCAAACTTAGGTGCAGCTGAGCCAGTCAGCAGGTGCATATGAATTACATCTGATATGTCCTTTCTAAAGCAAGGTAAGAAAGCCAAGCTCAATTTTTAACCTCTATTAATAACTTTTCTGTAACTGTTTCAATTAACTGTCAAAGATTAAAGTAACTTTAGGCAAACAGAGTTCACTGACAGTTGAAGAGTAAATGAACTCTCGGTTAACATGCATAATCAACAAGAAAAGGTGATGAAGTACTCAGCTACTGCTACACCTGTTGCAGCTCACTTGATCTTATTTATTTTTATTTATACTTTAAATTTGTGAATCGTCCAGTCCCTGTATGCACAGGGCTCTGGGCAATGTACAATAAAAGTTAAAACATCAGACAGAAGACAGAATTAAAATTAATAAATAACATTCCTTGCATTCTTAAAATAATCTCAAAATGGCATTACTAATCTGTTCTTAAAGAAAAAAATTCCCTCTTCTTCGCAGAAGAGCCAGCCCCTCTGCCAGCCACAATGCAGGCTCCAGTTTCTGGATAACCTTCACCACTGAAGAAAAGCTAATATACATTTTGCTGGACAGCCTTAAATGATTACCATGAAGGCATAAATAGGAACCACACAGACAAAGACTGTTTTCCAAAGAGACAGACGTGACAATCTGCACATCACTTCCACCTAAAACTCCAGCCTGCTTTTCTTAAGGAAATATGTACATATGAAGCTGCCTTATACTGAACCAGACCCTCAAGGTCAGTACTGCCTATGCAGACTGGCAGGAGCTCTCCAGGGTCTCAAGTCAAGGTCTTCCACATCACATCACCTACTATCCGATCCTTTTGAGACTGCACCTGGTACCTTCTACACACTAAGTAGATGTTCCATCACTGAGCCACAAATCATCCCTATTTGGCCTGATGATGGAAAGTTGCTCTTAAAAAGCAAACAAGGGTCTGTGGCCAAAGTACTGAGATTTCCATCAAGGCACTGACCAACGGAAGGAGATAAAAAATGCTCCTCATACAATGAACTGACCGTCTTCCAGAACAGCTGAGGAATGCTTGAAGCAGCTAGAACTTCACATGCTGTCTCAATGATGTCCTGGCAGGAGGCGGAGGAATGAGAAAGACAATGAGAAAGACAGAAGACACACAACACATTACACACACATTGCTTATCTTGTTGATTTAGGCCTGATGACACTAAACCAGTTTTCAAGACTGTCGTAGTCCTAGTCCTCTTAACAAAGAGCCCAGGGACATGCAGCTCTTCAAACAGTTTGGAACCTCTAAAGAATTCACAGCACATTCACAGAACTAATTTCCACTGGGAATGTGCACTTCAAAAAAAATGCACTGATTTTGTTTCAGGATTTCAGTGAGGGCACAGCTGTCATTATCTTGAATTTTCAGGAATCTGGCTATCGGTTCAGGATTATGTTTAAGTATGTTTTTTTAATTCCAGAACCATTATTTTGTGTGCTATTTTCCCACCCTCAGAGACAGAAGCACTGGGGAGGGAGAATCTCACCTTGGCAAACAGCTGTCAGGAAGTGCACACGCCGTTTTAAAGGGCCACTGTTTTCTATGGGATGATCTGGTCTCTGAACCACAGAAGCCAAGAGAAAATAAGGGCCCTTTTAAAATTAAAAAGGCCCATGTGCCATCAAGCAACCACGCGATGCACATCTTTTTGCCCAGGCTAGCAAGAGGAAGGCAGAATCTTAAATGCAAGCAGAACAATGAGACCCAGACCAGCCTTGGGATGCTTACCTGCTGGTTGCCTAGCGTGTGCAACTCCAGTGATGTCAAGACAAAGGAAAGGAGGCCATAAACACACATGCACGCTGTGCTGGCAGTACACTGCAGATGCAAAGGAAAGGGACCATCAGAGAATGAGAAGGTCTTGTCCAAAAACCATTCAGGTAAAGCTCCAAACCAAATGTTTCCATTAGCATGACCATGCATTCTAAAGCGACAAGCTTATACCACAAACTTATAAGGAGGGTGCCTAATGTTCACAAAAGCTATCTATGAAATGGCAACAGAATCTACAAACATATTCAGATGTGGGTATACTTAAACGAGGGGTTATGAAAAGAATACAAATATGTGGAGGATGGTACCGTTCCTCATGCTGATACTCAATTCACTATCCACTGGGGGGATTTCACCCCCTAGGACAAATGCAGTGTCATAAAACAAGATGTGCCAACACTAAATAAATACATCTTTTTAAGAGGAAGACACATTTGGGGTATGTTATTTTATTCTGGTCTTAATTGTTGTTGAATTACCATCATAAGCGGTTTGAACCACAAGAAAAAGCAGGGTATAAACGTTTTGATAAATACATTTTAAAAATTAATTAATAAACACTACCAGGAAGTGGCACCAGCACTATAAGCAACTGTTTAACTCGGATTGTCAGCTCTGAACCCTAATGATACAAACTGCTCCACCGTCCTTATATAGTCAGTTCTTTGCCACTCGGCCAATTATATAATACACATATCAACCTATGTGATTGATGGCTGTAGGTCTTGCTGTTAAGAAAGCAGGTGCCCAGCTGGCTAGCAACAGGGCATTCACACAGAAAGTTTGCACTTGTTCAGCTACACTCCTGTTCCAAGACACAGCCTCCCAAGAGACCAATCGATACTCACATTCTTTCCCCCACTGCTTAGTGACCGGAGCAGCTTTGTAAGATACTGGAATACATTCAGCTGGATAGCAGCACTTCCCATTCGCCTAATCACACCGGCTGATTCTTCGGGGTTCACTGTGTGGCGGAGCAAAGCCCAGGCCAAGAGGACAGGAGCATGATGAGAGATATCCCCAAGAGTTAGCAGTAGGCAGTCCATTTCCTGCTCAGGACAGAGAGAAGTCAAGCAATTGTGCATGGGGAAAAAACATACTGTGCACATTAGAAATTTAGGTCCAACGGGCATGCTTTAATTTTGCATAGAGACATGACTGTCGACATCCTCCTCACCTCTCAGGAACAAAGAATTTCCTTTTCCCTAGACCAAATTTTAGACACAGCAATACAAAAGTACTTCTTTTAAAAATGCTCAGAATGATTTCTTGGGTTCAGGGACAAAGACATTAGTCCTGTACAAAACTGGCCTTAAAAGGATTAACTTAATTTCCAGATGGAGGGAAATTGAATAGAAATGCCCAAGCAGGCAACTAAAAGTGTTTGATAATATTTTACAAAATTACCTGCAATGGAACAAGAGTTCTGAATAGCCACATTTCTGCAAAGGTGGGGGGAGACCCCCTGTGCAAAGGACACTCTCTTTCATATTTGCATGGATCCGCCCCTCTGAGCAACTAGGAGGACTACCCACTCAGGCTATGAACCACAAAGATGAGCACTCCTAGGATGCCCTTATTCTGTCCCCAATCCTCCTTACAGCTGCGCCTTGAAAAACACTGTCATCCATAATTTTTAATGAACATTTCACTAAGAGTGGGTAGATAGGTACGATCATTTATGATCACTGAGTGGTACTTCCTACAAACAATTGCATTAACTAGCTACTGTGTATGGACGCAGGATGGGCTACAGGTTTACCTGGCGGACCTGTCCGCTGCCAGCAAATTTATGCTCTTCTGTCCTGTCATCCAATACACGCTCATGCAGAGAATCAATTTCCATGCCTTCCACTAGAATTAGAGCACTGAAGTAGCTGTGGAAGGAGTGTAAAGAGAGGGGGGGTTATAACTAAAAGGCAGATGCAGTAAGGAAGGGAAAATATCCATGATTTTTCAAAAGTACTGAAGCTATACACAAACCCAAAGAAAGCTAAAGATGTTTCAGTCTTAGAATCTGATGCATCAGCAAATAAGTGCCGGCTGAACAGTAGCAAACACCGCTCAGCATCATTAACTGCAGGCTTAAGAGAACTTTTGTTTCTACGCCAGGGGTCATTTTCTAGAAAAAGAGGTGCAGGAGCTCATTTGTATAACTCATTTGCATATGCCACACCCCCTGACAAAGGGCATGTTTAAAATGAGTTATGCAAATGAGTTTAGACCCCACCCTACCCCGCAGCGGGCTGGCTGGAGACAGGGAGGGCAGTCATGCCTGGGTTCCCTGCCCAAACTTCTCCAGGTACCCCAAGGGATTGGGCAGGGAACCCAGGCATTTAAATTGCCCCCTCCCTGAGTGTCTCCACAGGTGGGGGGGCAAGGCCTGGGCTCCTTCCTGCCGGAGCGCTGCTCCGGGGTGCTCCGGCAGGAAATGACCCCTGTTTCTACCTATTTTTCAGCACCTAGTGCTTCAAGAAGATGCTGTCCATACAATAAGAAGTGGCGCTTTTTATGACAAACTTAGGGAAAAAAATATTCAGTTAAGGAAGGGGCCATAGCTTTGAATGGAGACAGCTCCCGGTTAAGTCCCCCTGGATTTCCATTTTGAATGATCTCAGGTAGAAAGGCCGGGAGAGAGTACGCTTTGAATTCTGCAGAAATACTGCCAATCACAGCAGACAAAACTCAGACAGATGAACATGTTTGCCAGCTGAGACTGTCACCAAAGGCCTTTTTGTGTGGGTGCTCCTACATTTGCGGTTCTTGGAAATGGGGCCTTTCTGTGTTTACACCCCAATTACAGAACACAGTCCCTAAACACATACATATTGCACCATCCCAGTTTTTACTTAGAACTTAAGTAAATGTTTAACTGCTTTTTTGATTCATTGAATGATTCCTGGATCTTTAATACGATTTGCTGCTACTGTTTACTTTGTTAATTATAATTTTTTTAATCATCTTCGATTTTAGAAACTTCTGTTAGCTACTTGGAAGAACAAGTCTGGTATACAAATGGATCAAATCTCTGACTCAGTGGTAGGCAGCTTTATATGCACACATTTTGGAAACTCCCTACGAATCACAACTTCCCAGCGTGTCAATATGTGGCAGAATAAGATGCATGTAAAACTTTCACATGTGACTATGTACTTCACTTTACCACACATCTACTTAGATTTTTAAAAATCATGTTATGAAGCAGCTCCTGGAAACAAGTTTATTGCACTGCAGTAGGGAACAGTCTACTCCATCAGATGTACTCACCCAATACGATCTACGAGGGGGTCCATGCTTTTGTCAATCAGATGCCTGTTGGTCTGCCTGGAGCCAAACCCCTGGTCTTTAAACATCTTTGCAAAAGCCAGTAGTTCCTCTGATGCCATTTCAAAATAGGCGTAATAAAGAAAGATAACTTCCAGGAGCATGGACTGCTCACGGAGGCACTGCACGAACCAGCGAGAAACTTGCCGCTCTGTCTGTATAAGAAGCAGAGGCTGCATTATTATATATATTTATGGAGACAGATTCTGATTCAGTGGCAGAGCACAAGCTTTGCATGTAGAAGATACCGGGTTCAATCACCAGCATCTACAGTTAAAAGGATCTTAGGCAGAAGATATCTGGAAATGTCTCTGCCCAGGACCCCTGAGAACTACTGTCAGAGAGTATATTTACTTACTTACTTTGTTTACATCCCCACCCCCCGCCCAGCGACCCAAAATGGATTCCAGCATTCTCTGGCCATCCATTTTACCCTTACAACAATGCCGTGTGATAAGTTAGGCTGAGTGTGCATGACTGGCTCAACGTCAATCAGCAAGCTTCCATGGCAGAGTGGAGATTCAAACCCAGGTTGCCCAAATCCTAGTTCAGCACTCCAACCACTGTACAGCGCTACACCTGGATATACCAGTGATAGGGCTGTCAAATCCATCTTGGAAAATTCCAAGAGATTTGGGGTTGGTGTTTGGGGAAAGTAAGGCGCTGAGTGAATATGTGATGTCACCACGCCCATAGCCAAGATTTTGTGGCTTGTGGGGCAATATTTTTTCTGGTGGGGCTGAAGTTCTCAGTGCAGAAAGAAAAGCATTTAGCCAATAGGAAGCTGTTACCAGGATAGATCTCTAAATTGCAAGCTGTCAACCACTTTAGATGACAGTTCTCAGCTGCTGTAAGTTAATCACTTTTGCCAGCCTAAGCAACAATTCTGATAACAAGACAGCAGGTGGGGGGGGGATGACTCCTATACTCAAGAAAGCTAACACTTAGGCAGAAAAATTCTCTTAAAGGAGGCCAGTTTCTTGACAGTTAGAAGGGATCTTAGAGGTCACCTACTCCAACCCTCTTGCTCATTGCAGGAATTAGTCAACTACAGCACCCCACCCAGCTTAAAGGAGCGCACGCCTTAAAAATGTTTTTTAATGATTGAAAAAAGCATTTACAGGAGAAATTCTTGTGGGGCTGTGCCTTTAAGATAGGGGGCAGAGCCTCCAAAAGCCCCACCATAGCTATGGGCCTGGATGCCCTTTCAGAACCACCATTTCCTCCAAGGGAACTGTCCTCTGTAGACCACGGAGCAGTTGTACTTCCCGGGGAACTCCGGGCCCCACCTGCAGATTGGCAACCCTAACCAGCAGTCTACTTCAGTATAAGGTAGCTTCATATGAAGTGGTCACATAAGCAGACAGGTACAAATACCCCAAGTACAGACAGAAGGGGGGAAATTACGTTCTTCCCCCCCACAAAGGCCAAAAGGTCAAGCCACGCAAGAGACAGCAAGAGGCGCATCACACTCCTATACAGAACACAACAAAATACAGATTCTAATCAATCAAGTAATGCAAAATCCAATCCGTATGGATGTCACTCATAGCTAATTAATACCACCAAACATACCACTAAAGCTCTCTAAGGAGGGTCAGTTTCCTCTCCAGTTTAACTATTACATTTTTAATCCACCCTTCTTCCAAAAACTGAGTCCGGCAGCACCTTTAAGAACGACAAAGTTTTATTCTGAGTTCTTCAGACAGATATCTGAAGAAGTATGCACGCACAAAAAACCTTATACCCAGAATAAAGCGTTGTTGGTCTGAAAGGTGTCACCGGACTCAAACTTTGTTCTGCTGCTTCAGACCAACATGGCTATCCAACTGAATCTTCCTCCAAGGAGTTCAGGATGGCATCAAAATATACATATAAGTATACCTGTATTACTGGAAGCCACTTTGGAGGGCAATTTCTGGCTGAGAAGTACAAAACGTGCAGTCCTGCTCACCACTAGACAGAGAAGCAGAGGAGTCCTTGGAAGTCTTAAGACAGGCAGGCAGCTAATCTCGTGCAATGTTAAGTATTTCAGGGGATGCCAAAGATCTGTTACCAGGCATGTCATTATTTGGAACCAGAAGTCCTACAATAACAGCAGGATCTACTTCCAGATGGAGAACACCCAGTGAATTTGGATTCAGACACAGCAGTCCTCCTGTACTTCACTACACAAAGTAAACTGCACAAAGATATCAAGGGAACAACATACCATCAGACTTCCATGTGTTTCCCATGTTGGTGCTTCTGCTTTATACAGCTCTTCAAACTGTTTACGATAGTTAGGAACCAGTTCCTTATCTAGCTTTTCCACACACTGGGAATATTGGGCCTTTAACGAAAACAGGAAAAACAAAAACAAATAATAATTTCTCTATTAAATACACAGGATACTAATGAATGCACAATGTATACGATAGCATGTGGGGAATCTCAAAAAGCAGGGCACCATACCCACCATATACGGATGTCTCTCATCTTGGAAATAAGTGAGGAGGTGCAGGACGCAGCGAAGAATACAAATCCTTTCCTCATAGTAATAGTCAGCAAGCTGTGAAAAGACACCGGCTTCTGCATTACTGAGAGCTGTACTTGTGTTATGAGATTAATTCTACACTAGACTATCCCATAAAGCCTCTTTAGCAAATCCAGTGACCAACTTCCAAGACTATTCTCTCTCCACAAACCCCTTCATTGCTCCAGGACATCATCTCAGAAGATCAGAAGTGAGATTCAGACTTGTACACCCTGAATCAATTCAAATATCACACTGAAACCACAGTTAAGGAAGCTCAACTATGATTTGGTAAGCCATAATTTTGAAACGAGCCAGAAAAACAGTAGTTTTTACTTATTTTTTCCTAACTCCAGTTTGGCTTGATATCTGTCCTGACACAGTTATGGGAAAAAGAGCAAAAAAAGGGGGGGGGGCCTCTGTGAGAAACCAAAGAAAGAACTGAGCAGCAGAGACCACACACAAAAAAAGGCTATGGACTGGATTGTGCGCAAACCAAATATACAGTACAAAAAGTACAGTGTGATGAGCAAAAACAGCCCCTATATACAGTGCAAAATGCAGTAAAGTATGACCATTCAAATGTATTTTAAAAATTCAATACATAATATAGTGAGTTATAACAAAAGGAAAAATATAGCAATGATGGTCTGCCGGGTACTTAAAACACCATTCTGATATCTGCTTAAGAATTGTTTGTTACAGTCCCATTGCAGAATGGCCTTGAACAGGTGTAGTAAATTGTCTATAAAAGACAAGAGGCCAAACATCTTCAAGTATGATATACAGGGACTGTTTTCACTCATCACACTGTACTTATTAAATATTTGGTTTGCACGCAATACAGTACATCAGCCTTTTCCTTTGTGTGTCCTCTGGTGCTCACTACCCTCTTTTGTTTCTCACAGAGAAGAAGAGGAAGAGGAAGAGAAGAGACTCTCTTTGTCTTAACCTGGGAGCTGCCCTCTGACCCTCCTCTCTGCTGTCTGAGTTGAACCTCCCTCTCCAACACCCTCCCTCCTGTCCCATACACTCACCTGTCTCTGGCCACAGAAAAAAACAGGGCAATTGCTCATTTATTTAAATATGGAACTGCCCTTTCTTTCTTCCTAAAATGGATTCTACTTCATTCGGCCTAAATTTCCACCTCAATAACCAACTTCTTCCTTCACCCACTAAACCATTACAGTCTTTCAGGTGGAAAAATCACCTAATGCCAAAGATCTCTTAATGCCTTCTAAAATAAATAAATAATAGTAAATCTATAAATTATTCTTCTAAGGTGAATAAGACATTAAGAAACGGTGCATCTTCCAGATCCCATTCCCATGGTGCACAAGGTCACTGCCCCTAGCCCTCACTTGTGTGTCAAAAGATTTTCCAATACCCATCCACTGGGTGCTGGACAAAGTCCAGACAAAGAGCACATGCCCAGGACACCATGTTCCATCTGGGAAACATGGCCTGATACAGAACAATGGCATATGGGAATAGTCAAAAAAGTCAAAAGAAAGACTGACCTTCAGTATGAGAGCCTGACTCTGTCTTTCATCTTGCAGAACAGTCTACAAAAATAAATAAGCAAAAGCATTAAGGAATAATTAAGATGCAACAGAAACTCGTTCACACAGGTTTCGAGTAATATGCAGAACAGGGGTGTGCACACACACAAAAACTGGGATTCCGGAAACACTCAGAATTACCAAATTTCTTCAGCTCCATGGAGAAGGGGGTGGATGAACTCATGCCACTTCTGGGCTCACTCACATGCAGTACAGCTTCCCTTTAAACGGTTTTTGCAATAAGAAGTCGCATTGCACAAGAGTGAGGGAAGAGATCCTTCCTCCGCATTCTGCTGGATGCTGGGAGCCGTGGCCAGCAGAAAAGAGGGAGGGAAGACCCTTTAAATGCCTGCGTTCACTCGGCGAGTTGCACTGCTGCCGCCACGGCACGGGCCGGCTTGGAGAAGGTATTTAAAGAGACCTCTTTAAATGCCTTCTCCAAACAGGCCTGTGCTGCTGCCGCCACATGGTGAGTGAACCTTGCCAAATTGCACTGCCAAATTGCACTCCCTTCTCCAAGCTGGCCCCTGCAACGCAGCTTCTCCAAGCTTTTCATTTGGCCTCAGCTATAGTGGTAGCCAAATCAGATTAGAGAATCTGATTCAGCTGAATAGATACCCGATAAAGATATTTATTTGGTTCAGTTCATATCAAATGCACACCCCTAATACAGAGTATAGACTCAACTGTAAGTTTAAATGGCCTACTGGAGCTTTCACTCCACTGCCTTTCCCCTTCATCCTGTCTTCTATCTGCAGCTCAGGGGAACTCTTTGTAATTCAAATATTTAATTTTGCTTACTAATGTGAACAGTGGAAATAAATGAATAAAGTCCCAAAGTCAGGCAAGGATGCAGCTATTGCCTGCCAAGAGAATTGCCGAAAAAGAGAGATGTTGCATCCAGTCACTCATTACTAACCTTTAACGAGTCTCTAGTTCCTCTATAATCCTCTTGAAGGTAACACTGTAACAGTTGCACACTTTGCTCTTCATCTAAAGCCTAGAACAACATACAGATTCAGGTGGTTAACGCCCAAAGGGCCAAAAACCATTCAGCATCCATATGAAAACAGTAAGCTGCCTTATAGCAGTCAGAACACTGGTCCAACAAGCTTGGTGCTGACTAGTCTGACTGGCAGTAGCATAGCAAGGGACTCAGGAAGCGTGAGGTCTCCGCCAGCATTTTGCCACCCAGGATCCTTTAACTGGAGGCGCCAAGGAATAAGCAAATGGCGCTGCATGTGCAAAGCCCATGCTCCACCACTAAGCCACAGCCTTGCACCTTAAGACTACTGCCTCTTTCCTTGGAGCGAATGCTTGGGTAGGAAAAACAGAAAACTGAACCTGTCCCCATTAAACGCTTAATTCCTCTGGAGATAGAACAAGATGGGTAGCCATGTTAGTTTTGTCTGTAGCAACAGAAAAGAGCAAGCGTCCAGTAGCATCTTAAAGATAAACAAAATTAGTGGCACGCTATGAGCTTTCGTGAGTCCCTGCTCACTTCTTCAGATATAAACCACCCTGCCACAAATTTTGTTAGTATCTGAAGAAGTGAGCAGTGACTCACGAAAGCTCATACCGTGCCACACATTTATGTTAGTCTTTAAGGCACTGCTGGACTCTTGAATAATTCCTCTGGTCATTCAAGAAACAGTTTTCCAGATGGCTGGTTTATCCTACTAGCCCTCAAAACAAAAACTCTACTCCCGGTTCTAACAGCAAAAAAGAATTGGCCAGATTCAAAGTGAGCCAGATTCCCTTCCAACAGAACCCTGCCCCCCCATTAGGGTTGCCATCGCCAGAGGGAGCATTTTGTCTGCAGTGAAAACCACAGAGATCAGGAGAATTCCTACAGTGCCATACAACGCCATGTGTCCCCCCCCCCCATTTTGCTCCTGCCACCTCAGGTGCTGGACTAGTGGGGCCAGAAGGCAGGCAACCTACCTAGTAAGTCTAGTCCCACCCCTCATTTTCTCCACAGGGAAGGATAGGGCACAGGACAGAGCCACTTGTGACTTCTACTCACCAAAAACTTGCTGACACGCAGACCCAGTTCCTTCAGAGGAGCAGCCACATTTTTATCCCCTTTTACTTTTTCTGCAGAACTTGCACTATCGATTTAAAAAGCAGCATTAAAAAAAATAACAGCCAGGACTAGAAGCTAAGAAGAGGACAGATGAAGCTCAGCCGTTTAACTATCATTTATGCCACCCAAATGGCCCAAGTCCTTAGAAGGAACCCTCCACCTATTTAAATATTCCACAAATAGTGGCAAGAGCTAGAAGTGCTCCTACCCATTAAATATAAGCAGAGCGCCAGTTAATCCAGTTTACCCTAACCCTGACCCACAAGAAAGGCATACAAATGCAACAGCCTTTTCCCCATGTGTGCCTCCCCTCATTGGTCTACCCTCCCTGAAACTTCCATTTAACTATCAAGACTAATAGCCACTGAGAGAACAATTCTCCACGAACCAGTTCACTATCTAGGCAGATAGCCAACAACGCATCCTGGGGCTGTGACTTCCATATAAACTGAAGCTGCTTCACACTGAGTCAAACCAGTGGCCCATTTCACAGCTTAACACCTTTAACAGAAGCTGCCATGGGATGGAGCACAGCACATTCAGCCAGCAAAGCATACGACCCCCTTCATAACAAACCATCTTTTTTAAAGCACAGCCTCCCACACTCCCCCAGGCTAACGCAGTAGCTGGCTGCAAAGCCAATGGTGCTAGAAGGCATGAGGGACCTGGCCAAACATTCCCATGGATGATGCCACTGTACTGATTATCCAGTGAACGGAATGTGGTTTATTCATGCAATGAATGAAACACAAGCTCAGACTCTCCATATTCTCAGAAAGCCACGAGAATGCGCACTGAAGACCATGCTTCTGCTATCCACGGAACTACAGCAGCCCTTCAGATCTCCTAGCTCCTCTGCCTCACAGCACTGGTGCAGCCCCATCTCCATCAGGCAATTGCAGTACCTGGGCGGCTTGTAGTAGGAAAGCCCTTCAAGCAGTCTCTGCCAATGCTTATTCAGCTCCTCTGCAATCTGAGCCTAGAACAGAACAAAACAGAGCTTAGAACACAGAGACTAAGCACAGCATGGTGGAATCAGACTAGGACCTAGAAGATCCGGGTTCAAATCTCCACACTGTCTCTAAGCTGTGTGATGGAGACCTTGGGCTACCACTGTCCCTCAGCCTAACCTACTTTATAAGGTTGTTGTAAGGAAGGGAGAACCACATATGCCACCTTGTGTTCTTTGGAGGAAGGAGGGGATAAAAGTGTACCAGGAATACTAAAATATATGTATTTATTTATGCCACCATTATATAGAGAGCAGGTGAAACACAGAGACGTCAAGAAGCATCATCCAGTTTACAAGAAATGGCACTGTTTTCTGCCCTGCTTAAAGGTAAAAAATAGGCATGCCATTTCCCCACTTCAGAGAGGCAATCTCCTATCAGCTGGGCCCTTGAGTTCAGGCCAGCAGAAGAGGGTGGGGTGAAAATAATGTTGTGCAACACATCAATGTCACATCCAGGTAAAAACTGGATGTGATGTCAGGTCAGCAACTGACACTCTGAAAGTTCTATGGTTCCCAAAGCTTGAGTTGATGTCACGACTGTGTTTCCATCCAGACATGACATCAATGCGTCCTGTGATGTCATATCCACCCTGTAACCGAAACACCTGAAGGTGCCAAGGTGGCGGTTTGGCATACATAGTAAAAGGTCAAGTGAAGAGTAATGGCCAGTTGCTATAGACACTGTGCTTCCAACTTCTGGCCATGTTCAGTCCAGTAGGGACAAACGAAGAGATTTTTCCCTAGAGCACACTGCTCTACCCTGGGTCACCAAGCCTGCTCATTCCACTGAAAGGAACTACTAGGTAAACACATACAAATACCCCTTTCCTAGTAGAAAGCTGCAGTGTCTAAAGAGGAGAAACAACAGAGGCATGGAAAGAACAATAAATAAAAGAAATAGGCTAAGCAGCAAAGCAAAAAGAAAGCCATCTCTAATAAAGAACACTGCCTAACCCTTGCTCTACTTACTGGTTCTCTTAAAGCTGACCTGCCCAGCAGAATGGTCCATAGTTCTCTGCTGCTCCTAAGAATAAAGAGAAAGCCAACAGGTTACGATCTCAGGGTCAGTACAAGATGAAAAATTTCTGGAAATATGGAAGCCATGGCAAAAAACGTTTTTCAGATTTTCACAGGAAAAAGGGAAATTCTTGGAAAAATTAAAATATTTGCAAAACTTAACTACTTCAGCAGCGATAAATGCAAACATTATAACCTAGTTAATTTACAAAATTGTAGTATTTGTCCTATTTATGGAATTTAGGAGTATAAATGTCTTTTAAGTTGTGAATACACCCAATACTTGAGGGACAGAATCTGTAAATTACTGCACCTTATCTATACCACTTTAGCATATGCATCTTAATTTTTTGTCAGGTAGGAAAAAATTGAAGTTGAAAATGAAAACACAAAACAATTCTGTGGTGCAAAAAAGAAAGGGTGTTAGTTGGACGAAAACAGCCAAGTGCAGTTACAACAGAACTTGCAGTATATCTGGATCAGTTCCCTCTAAGCTGAGTTAGTGTGAGCTAGCTCAGCGTTTTTTAGCCTCCAGCTCACACATTTTCGTCTTAGCTCAGGAAGGATGGCTCCAGGGCAAATTAATTTATGCAGTAGCCAAATTGCTCGCTCACAACTTTAATGCCAGTAGCTCACAAAGTAGAATTTTTGCTCACAAGACTCCACAGCTTAGAGGGAGTATTGATCTGGATATAGCATTAATTAAGAACACTTAACTCTTCAATTCTGTATTATCATCATACATATTACAGCATAGTTAATATGACATTATAAAATTAAAAGTATTAAAACGATCATTTAAACAATGAAGCTATCTTTGGAAACATGTTGCATAGGTCTACAGCATCTCCAGGAATCATCTAATGCCATAGATCATCTCACAAAAATCTTCAACTACACATTTGGAGTAACATTTTGGACACAAAATGTCAGAAAGCGTTTTGCTCATTCCAAAACACAAGCATAAGTGTTGTTGTTTTTTTTCAGAGTCCTCAAAGTTTCCCATTTTTCTCTTGGAAAAACTAAAAAGAAGTATTTGGGGATGGAAAAAAATAGTTGTGTTCCTTCACCCTCAAGAACCATTATGTTTCATCCCCAGGACTTTGTCGCTCTAAATTTGATACAGACCTCCCAAAGGGAGACTGTATTAAGTGGTGAGAACCCACTTGCCTGCAGCACTGTAAGGAAAAAGAGAGAGTAAGGGCATGGGCACATTTGACTAGCACTGCTATGTTGAGAGAAAGGAGAGGGTCCGACCGGTCTCTTGCTTGCTCCAGAGCAGTGAAAGTGAGGGGGGAATAGAGGGCACAGTGAATTTTGGTGGCACACCATTCCATGTGCACACACTGACTCCCTGGTCCCTTAAACAGCGTGATTTCTGATGTAAGAATGCTCCCTTCAGGGCATGACCATCATACAAGAAACCAAACTAGACGAAGGAATGGAATGTCCTTCTGTATATACGATGGCTATCTGTCCTATGAGGCAGCCCTTGAAGACAGCTCAGAGGCTGCACAACACAACGGCATAGCTGGCTCCTGACAAGATGGACCACCAGGACCACATTATACGAATTCCCCAAGATCAACACTGGATTCCTATAATCTTCCAGGAACAATTCAGGACACTGTTTTGATTTCTGAAGCCCAACAGTTTGAAACAGTCAGGTAGACTCACTCCCACATGAGATTATAAACTATAAGAATCAAGCACATGTTCCTGAAAGGAGCAAGCAGATAAACAATGGATGGCTGAACAGGTTGAGACTTTATATCCATTGAAACCCAAAGATTAATATTTTTCAGACACTATATTTTACTTGCGTAACGTGGGTTTTGCAGCCAGAGAAAGGTAAAAGAACCTTGCTGAGAATGGCTCCATGGACAGAATTTGCCTGGAGTAGTTTGTTTAGGGGAAGGCAATACAGGGAACCTGCTACTAAGAGTCAGTGTAACATTTATTCATTTTTTTCCCACTCTTTATCCAAGCAGCACACAAACACAAAAACCTTTTATTCTGACAATATCCCCATGAAGTAGATTAAGCTAAGAGGCTGAGAATGACCAAAGATAACCCAGCAAGCTTTATGGCTGAGTAGGGATTTGAACATATTAATTTCTGCTATCTGAAAGACAGGGGAAAAAATAAAAACCTAAATCAGAAAACAAATGCTGTGCTATATAAAGTTCATATCTAATCAGGAAAACTAATGAATGGTGTTTGTATTTAACACAGGTAAAGGGGGGCGGTAGTCTTGATAAGAGAGTTCACACTTATAAGAGACAAAAATCTCGTGTGAAAGCTCATAATAAATTCCAGTTCAACAGTTTCACAGTGAAGTCTTCCTTTTCAGTTCTTCTGTTGAAGAATGTTAACTTTCAAGGTCAATAACACTGGGTCTTTGGAGAATGAAATGTTCGCCCACTGATTTCTTAATATTGCTGTTTTGAATCTCAGACTTGCGTCCACACAAAGGTACTACCTTATCCCAAAAACTCACTGACTGCTACACACACCTAAAGGCTCCTAAGCCCTCTGACCTGGATAGCCCAGGCAATCCCGATCTCGGAAGCTAAGCAGGGTCGACTTTATGTTTATGAATTTCAATTGAACACAAAGAAGCCATTGAAATTCATAAACATAACCACAATTTCAACAGG